TGTCTGAATCTCCTTACCACCCAATCGCGAAATGGCTAGCCGAAATCCTAGAACCTGCAAGAAGACGAATCGCCTTTCACTCTCTGTACGACCCTTTTGAATTTGTTAATTGCATAAGAGACGAAGTTGTATCTAACAAATGTATGATATTACTTGATGTCGAGTCACTTTTCAGCAATGTTCCACTTGCCGAAACTATCTCATTTTCATGCAGATACATAGGAGATAACAACATTAATGTCGGGATACCGACCTCTCACCTTAAGGAACTGTTAATTAGATGCACACTCAATGTTCACTTCACATTTAACGACGTGATTTACAGATAGAAAGATAGAATAGCCATAGGATCTCCTCTAGGTCCACTACTAGCAGACTGATTTTTGGCCAGTTTGAAGAACGGACCCATGAAATCAACGATTGAAGGTTTTCTTCTGTACAAAAGGTACATTGACGATACTTTTATTATCTGTGATCATCAATATGGTTTCAATCATGTTCTACAAATATTCAATAACTGCTACTCAGCAATTAGATTCACCCTTGAGGTGGAATATCGATCGAAAATTCGCTTTCTTGATATAGAGCTGACAAGAACATCTGATGGAACATTAAGTAGGTCAATTCATAGAAAACTATTGTGGAATGGTCAACTTTAATAGTTGGGTCCCTATGAGGCGTAGGTGAAATTTAACCTTATCTTCTGCCACTCGCATTAGATGGATCTGCAGTCCCGATGTGTTAAAATAAGAAATTTCTGTTCTGAAGAACATTCTAATTGGAAACGGATCCCCTCCACGCTTCATAGGCAAACACATCAAACCCAAACCACGCAAAGAGAACCCTACCACCGTGCCAAAAAAGATACTCTATATGAATCTCAACTTCAAAGGTGATTCTGCCGCTGACACTCTAAAAAGGAGGATATCAAACGCTCTAAGGAGAACATTCTTTACATCAACTCTGAGACTGATGTTCTCTTGTCTCCCAACCATTTCTTACAACACGAAGGAGAAACTTTCGCATCTGACCACTTCTATGTACATATATCAATTCACCTGCCAGGTATATAGGTCGTTCGACGCGACTGTTATTCAAAAGGGTTCAAGAACAACTACCCCACGTAGTTACAAAGAAGTACCAATGGAGCAATAAGGAGTGTTGTTATTTAACACATTGTGAACACAAATCACTCTATCTCAAAAACCTCGTTTAAAGTCATTGATAAAGTGAAAAGAAACCTCCCAAAGTCTGTATGTCTTCGTGTTCTCTGAACCGCCGAAGCTCTTGCCACCCGAATGAAAAAGCCTGAACTGTTTACAGAAAAGATTGTTCAACTCCTCCTTTCATTGTCTTAGTTTTCAGTCTTTTCTACTCCCCAACCCACTTTTTTCTTTTCATCTTTCTGTTTCGACACTATTCACGTCTTAAGAAATTTGCTACTCATTCTTGTTGCTATATCCTCCCTAATCACAATTCAGTTTCCGAACTTCTTGTTCAAGCTTATTTTGATTAATATTCACTACTCATCAGTTTTTCGGTTGTTTATTTTAATGACAACTCATTTATTGACACTATTTGTGTTGCCATGCTTGACAAACAGTTTTTAACTATCAAATTCTTAGACTAGAAAAAAATGTATAAATTTGCTATTTTACAGCTTTGAAAATGAAACCGCCGAAAACAAACTCTTCGGTGAAATACTTTTTCTCCCTTCAAATCATTATGGGTATATTTCACACAAAGTAATTTTATCATTTGCCTCTTCAAGTCTCATGAAGAAATGTAGAAACTTACCCAGTTCCCCTTTACCGTGGAAGTGTCCCTACGATTCTTGAAACATCGAAGCCAACCGATTTGATCATACGAAGTAAGAAAAAGTGATTGCAAGCAAGACAGAATTTTCTTTTCGACAAAATTATCCTAATGGCTGTACATACATTTGACCTTTGACCAGAGATCAATTTGAAATGTTCTGTCTTTTCTACCTTACGTTCACGAATGTACAGCTAGGGGAATGATTTGGTTGAAAAGAAAGACTTTTCTTCGCTACAACCGTCTTCTCTCTTTTCCTAAGAACTAAAGTTAATTGGAAATAATGGGAATGTAAATGGTGTTTGGGAATAATAAGTAAGGCAGTAAGATGAAATAATAAAATAATAAATGAAGCTGTAGGAATAGAAAAATTCATCAAGACAATACAAGGGGAATCGTGAACTTTTTTTGTACACATAGGTTTGGTTTCAGTAGATGGATTACTGCTGCTTCTGCATAACGTAGCAATCTACTATTACTTTGTGTATTGATTACCTTAAAAGCTATGCTTGAGTTGACAGCATGACGTTTATCGGGAATTTGTTTACTAATCTCACTACTAGGTAGCTTTTCACCCTCTGAGTGACCAGCTGTTCAATGCATGTTTGGAGATTCTTTTCGTGGACAACCTCTTCGTTCTTCTGACATACATGTCTCACGTCTAAATTAGTTTCTCTGAGCATATTCTTCGTGTACTAGATAACTGTTAGTTTCGATACGAGGTGGTGAGTTGGTTCAATGCGTGCATTCAGTCAGCGATTATTTTGTGAACTCAATTCATCCCCTTTGAATGAGGGTCTATTGAACATGTTTTTTTTCGTCGAAGCTGTTTCAATAGATTTCTCATTTTTAGATTCAAAGTATTTATTTATGAACTTCATAGGATATCCGTTATCCAACAAAATTTCTCACTTATCTTCTAATTCATTTTCAATTACTTCTTTTTAATATTATCTGATTGTCCTGAAAAACAGTTTTGGCTAGACCTTTTATAAGTGACGAGGCCGAAAACTATTAAATAGCAAATATTAACTAGTCGAAGCAGGTTTATGATAAACTCTGTGGTCACCCTCTTCGCCTTCGTTTAGATGGATAGTGACTCGCTGTTAAACGTCGCGACATTTCGTCGCTCATTTCATTACACATGGATAGCCATGGACATGAATTCAATTTCGATAATGTAGAAATCTTGTATGGAGAAAACACAAAGTATATCAGGGAATCCTTAGAAGCTTAGGATTCAGATCAGTTAATCAATGGATGTATTGACTCAGATGCAATCTATCAACCAATAAGGAAGATGATAGACAACAGAAGAGTGAGATGTCAGGCGGAGAAACAGCTAGGGGGAAAACTTATGCAGTTAATGACACAACAATCAAAGGGAACGACCAATCACAAAGGAGCTCGTGATTGCGAGCTACTGAATGACTCATAGAAAGATAATGACAGCTGATATTATGTTGAAGTGCTGATGATGTTGTGTATAAGGACAGTGAAAGCTTCACGAATAAATAACCCAGCCCGGAGAACACAATACAACCAACAAACTTTGTTTATTATCGATAAGTAACAGAGAAAATAAACGTGGAACCTTGGAGACAAGTGCATCGGTTCAAGTTGCCACACTTCACAGTAGCATGCAAGAGCATTATTAAAGTAGACAAAGGTATGTAGTAGAAAAAGGAAATAAAAGTTAATGAAACTTTATATGTCAGAATAAATATATCTACGTCATTATGACCGATTTTGAGCCATTTCACCAAGACCTCTCAACCACTGATGCCTATCATTTCGGGGGATACCAGACAGGTAGTCTAGACCTACCTACACAACTCGAACGAACATTTAGAGACTTCATGGACTGGTGCCACGTCTTAGTCTCGCTACTTTGAATCTTCTCCCAACCTAATTCAACTTCTAAGTATGGTTATATTCAAAAACCATCCGAAAGGTGAAAGTTTGATCGATGCACCCTCGTCCAGGTCTGGAACCTGCCTGGTCTTTTAGAGTTTACTGTTGTCGAGATCCAGTTAGGCGTCGGATAACTGTCAACCAAAGGATCTTCGACATGATGTTAGCCAATTAGTTTCCTTATGCTTTTTACAAGATGAATTTTCTTTTTTGTAGACTGGAACGGTCAGGGAAGTAGACCAGTCTGACGGCACTACCTCCTTTTTCCATATACTGTTTAATAACTTCGTTACTCTACCCGGTAATTTCTTACCTCTAGTTTTAGAAACTTTGGTGGCAAAGCGTTCAGCTATTTCGCACCGTTTCAGGTTCAATACAACCTTCTCAATGTTGAGAAGAGTTGGAGGACCGATATTTATGTCCCATTTAGGTCCAGGGTAGATGTTGAGCAACTGAATCATAGCTGAGGACCAGTTGAACTGTACTTCAGACTCTTCTGTCCAACGTTTTAGCCGTCTGTTCTGAGAGTTCATCAGGATCCCTTCCTTTCCACTAACTATCGTCTTGTTCTTTTGAGTATCCTTAATCAGCTTAAATAATTCCTGTGTATTACCAAACACTGATGATCTCCCCATCTTTTGTTTCTACCACCCACCACTACTCGGGATCATTGTGAAGACGCACGTTCGTCCTATGTGAGACTCGTCAGCTGAATGTACCTGCACCCCAGTGAATGATGTTGTTCCCACTGGGACTCGAACCCAGTACCCTTCGCTTCGAATGCCAGGGCGTTATCCACTAAGGCAGTATAGCATCATAAACACTCGGTAGTATCATGGCATCCGCATAGGAGCCCATCTGCCAACGGAAGTCGAGCAATTCAGCCCTGTATAACAACGGGGAATTACTGGTATCATAACAACAACTGATACCCGTTGCACAGGAGGTGGTTATCGTGCCCCAGTGGCTCAGTGGATAATGCTCTGGCGTTTGAAGGGAAGGGTATTGGATCCGAGCCTCAGTGAGAACAACATCACTCCACACTGAGGTGCAGCTACATCCAGTTGGTGAGTCCCAAATAGGACGAAACGCTCGTCCTGGATTCCTCTGCTAGTCACCAAGATCAATATAGCATGTTATATCCTCTACAATAAGAAACATTCACCTTATAATCTTTCGGTGTATCGTAGTTTGAAGTTATGAATATTTCATTTTATAGCTGGAAAACAGCCAACTATTTCATGTGTTTGTTGTTTACACTCTCTTCTTAGGCATAAAACCGAAATGTGATGAATGTCTCAAAGAATTTACCACGAAGTTCGCTTTAAATGAACATATCAGAGCAATACATAAAGGTTGGTTATAACTGGCAATTTCACGTTCTGTATTCATGCGGGAGCGAATATGTATATATATATATATATATATGCAAAAACATTTTTGGTGTAATCTTTAAAATATAAAAGGGGTCTTTATTTGTCATAATCCTGTTGTAGAAATTATAACAGGATTCACAAATAGTGTAATAACTACAGCTCACGCAGGCAAAGAGAAGAATAGTTGTAATGATATTATTTCTATGCATTAGTAATCTAGAACTCACATTAACGAATGAACCAGACTTTTCCTACACTTCTAGTGATTGGACCAATTCACATTGTACGATAATAGGTGTTTAAAAACACCTGAGTTCTATAGTGCCAGGTACTGCAATCTGTGATGAGATAACTAATAAGATATTCAATATGAATTCCACTGCCACGAATACTTTACAGTTGATGAGAATTCGATTGAATATACATACATCACTCTGATATATGCGTAGGGTAAGTATGTGGTTGAATAATCAATCAATCGAATCTTTGTTAAGCCTATAGACTCTAAATCAGCTTATCAGAATTTTCATAGCTGTTTTGAATTTCCTCTGAAAGTTGTATTCTTCTGGATGATATTCACAATGTTCAGTTTTAGCTGGAAATTAAATTATTTTCTTCAAATCAATATTTGAGTATTCCAAACTTTTTCCCTGTTCTTGATATAGTTAGTTTTGTCACTGATATGTACGCTTCTTTCAATTTGAATCTCAAAAGTGTTGACTGTGTTACACTTTTAAGGTGTATGAGGTAACACTGTTATAGTCTTTAGCTATTTTTCAGGATTTCTCTTTTTCCAAATCATTGAATGATGTTGGTGGTATCTTCGTGAAAGAAATGGTGTACTTAGATTCGTCTTACTCTATCATTACATTTCGGTTCATTGTTTTTATTGCTGTACCGATTCCTCAACCTCGAAAATTTTTATAGTATCTTTTTTTTTAATGCATTATCTTCTGTGAATAATTCACATATGTACCTACCGTTCTTGATATGAACAATACCAGAACAAAGACATTTGCAGAATGAAATGAGTTCACGGCCTTTTATTGGCTGTAAACAGCCTACTATTGAAATGAAGTATTTGTAGTAATAATAGCTTGACATACTTTAAATAGGTAGAAATAAATGATTTGAAATCCAGGATTAACAAAAAGGTAGTAAGTCAAGAAAACACATGGTTAATAGTTACAAATCCATGGGGGTTTATATCTGATGGGATAAAAATTCTGGGGCTGTGGAGTGGGAGCAGAGACAACAAACAAAAATGAGCGTGAAACAAGGGACTGTTTAAGGGCCAATAGGTTACGTAATTACATGGAAAACTTGAAAATCGTTAAGTGATTAATAGTTATAAAGTAATTAATGAAGAGATGATGGAATCAAAGGAAAGGGAATACTATACATTAAAATTATCATCATCATCATTATCAACATAGGACCAGGCATTACTGCGTAACGGTCCGAGTTGCCACACCTCATATCAGCACATCAAGTAAAAAGGTAGTGAGGTGAAGGATGAAGATAAGTGAATGCAGTCAAAAGAAATATAAAGTATGAGAAGAAAGGAAAGAGGAGTGACAAAATAGTGAGATTCGGTATAGCGTTGTTAAGATGAGGATAATGTGTGTATACATCTGCGCCACTGACTTCGGTTCTGAGCCATATCACCTAGGGTCTCCAACCACTGGTTCCTCTTGTCCCGTGGACCCCAACCACCTAGTCTGCATCGTCCTACATGGCTTAAACCAACAGTCAGAGACTTCATACATTGGTGCCATGTTTTAGTCTGGCCACCTCGGGCCTTTTTCCAGCCTGAACCCACCTCAGCCAACATTGTGTGACGAGGCAATCGGTGACTAGGCATACGTAGTACGTGTCCCAACCATCTCAGTCGATGAAGGTTCACAACCTCGTCGACTGACTTACCTCTTCTCCCTAAAACTCTACACCTAACTTCTGCATTACTCACATGGTGACACCACGGAATACGTCCTATACTACGAAGGCAACGGTGGTCAAATACCTGTAACCTTCTCATGTCTTCCACTTTCAATGGCCATGTTTCACAGCCATACAGTAGAACAGAGCGGACTGCTGTGCAGTACACGCGACCCTTAATAGACAAACGAATATCACGGCGGCGCCATAGGTGGCGCAAATTGGCAAAAGCCAATCGAGCCTTTTGTATCCGTGCAGAAATCTCATCGGCAACTAACCCACCGGAGTTGATCCTACTTCCCAGGTAAGTGAAGTGGTCAACACACTCAACCACTTCACTCTCTATTGTTAACCGCGGTACCGCTGAAGACCAGTCCTGGAGCAAAAATTTGCATTTGGGTGGTGAAAATCGCATCCCAAACATTCTCAAATTCCCACTCAAAGTGTTCAGAAGACTCTGCATCTTGTCAGCGTCTTCACCTAACAGGACTATGTCATCTGCATATTCTAGATCTAAGGAAAATTCACCTGTGATCCGGTCAACGTCTTTGTAATTAGGTGACGAGAGGGAAACCTCCATAAGAATATCTATGATAAAATTAAATAAGAATGGGGATAGTGGGCATCCTTGACGGACACCACTTGATGAGTATAGCTCCCTGGACAACTCACCATAGGCTCTAACATGCCCACAAGTGTTCGAGTAGAGAGCTTTCAATAAGGTGATGTACTTACTAGGCACGCCTTTCAGTGACAGACACTGCCATAAGACTTCTCGATCAACGGAGTCAAATGCCGCCTTCAGGTCGAGAAATACAGCTATTGTCGGGCGTCTGTAAGCATGCCTATGTTCCAGGACCTGGCGCAGTGTGAATATTTGGTCGATACATCCACGGCCAGGTCTAAAGCCTGCCTGGTTTTCTCGGGCTTGCTGTTCCCGAGCTCCACTCAGGCGTCGGAGAATTATAGAACTTAGGATCTTAGACACTATGTTTGTCAGGCTGATTCCTCTGTGGTTATCACAAGAGGACTTCTCGCCTTTCTTGAAGACTGGGATGATCAGTGACTTAGACCAGTCGGAGGGGATCGTATTTGATTCCCATATACTGGCTAACACTTCCGTTAGCCTGACTAAGAGAACTCTACCACCATTCTTGTATACCTCAGCAGGTAGTCCGTCTGGTCCTGCTGCCCTTCCCCGTTTCAGGCTACCTACCGCTTTCTCAACTTCTTCTAGTGTTGGGGGACCTGTCTCTATGTCCCATTCAGGGTCCGACTGGATAGCGGGCAGCGCAATGGTGGCTGGAGGCCAGTTAAACTGTTCCTCAAAGTGTTCTGCCCATCGTCCCAGTCGCCTTCCCTGCGAGTGAATCGCCGATCCGTCCTTCTCCGCTATAACCTCACTAACTGTTGTTGACCATTTCCCCCCAGTCTCCTTAATAAGTCTAAATAACTGTCTACTGTTACCGATCGCCGCTGCCTTTTCCATCTCTTTAGCCTTTGCTGCCCACCACTGTTCACGATCGTTGCGCAGACTTTTCGTCAGTTTATTTTTAAGTTGCGCTCGCTCTTCATTGTACTCAGAGCCTGCAGGGATGCATTCACGTGCATCCATTAGTTTGGAAGAAGCTGCTGATATCCACTGGCTCTTTTTAGCCATTATCTTGGAGTCGGCTACAGTCTCCAGTGCTGCTTTTACAGTAGACTGAAGATGGCACCAAGCTTCTTCTGGATGAGTGACAGTCTTTTGTTCCGATAACTGCCTAGCCAACTTCTCACTGAACACGGCTTTGGTGTTTTCGTTGTCCAGCAGAACTCGTAGTGGTTTTGTTGCCAAATTTTTTCTACGTCCATTGAGACGCAGGCATATACGTGCTCGGACCAACGCATGATCGCTGTCCAAACACGTACTCCAGAAGGAGCGGCAGTCTTCCACCGATCCTCTCCAGCGATGACTAATAGCAATGTGGTCTATCTGTGTCCATCGCTGAGTCGAGCTCGGTGGACGCCAGGTCAGACAGTGCCTTTCTTTATGTCTGAAATTTGTGCTGGCTAAAAATAGGCGGTTATCTGAGCATAGTTGTAATAGGCGATCACCGTTATCTGTACGTTCAGCTGGGATTCCGAAAGTGCCACCTAAGTGCCTTTCTGCCTCACTCAGTCTACCCACCTGTGCGTTGAGGTCACCTGCAACAACCACTACGTCCGAACGTTTGGCTTTCGAGAGGAGGTTAGACAGTTTATGGTAGAACTCGTCCTTCACTTCATCCGAACTACAGTCAGTGGGTGCGTAAGCAGAGATTACAAAGAGACAACGGCGAGTCTCACTATTCCTTTTAGTTCTCACTGTGCCGTTCAGCCTCATAGCGCAGAGGCGACTATCAACTGGGATCCAGTCTAGTAGTGAGTTTTCTGCCCTGGTGCTTAATGCTATACCTACACCTGCAAGACCACGAGAGCTAGCTATCGAATCTCCAGAAACTCGAAGGGTGAATTTTGCAGATTCACCAGATTGGTCAGGAGAGGTCAGGTGAATAACCACACTTGGGTCCTGTATGCGTGTCTCACAAACACAGCACACATCCATGCCCGAGTTGCTAGAGTCTTTGCCAACGAAGCCTGTTGGCCAATTTGACGGAGGGTGCGGACATTGAAGGCTCCAATATGTAATTTGGAGCGTGGTTTAAGGAGACCAGGGACACTGTTCTGTGGACTCAGATCGTTGTCGAAGGCTGCAGAGGTAGGAGAAATTGAAGATGATGCAGCATCATTAATTAAGAGACGTGAAGGAAGATTAGAAGGTAATGATGGAGGAGGAGGATAGCAGTCAGAAGAAACTTGGGTGCTGACAGAGTTGTGAGGGCGGTTGACACTTCCCGGCTGCCCACACCGTGGAAGGCTATTTCTTCTTAAGGTACCTGAAAGAGATTTGTGTGACCGCAGAGCCCATCGGACATCTGCTTGAGGCCTGTCACACCCAGCCTTTTGAGTATGATTATTTTGAATTTTTGTATTTTTGGGGCCGGATGAGCGAAAGGAAACGACAAGTGAACCAACACCGCCGGCCCGGCAGACCGTGGGGCGTGGTGGAGTGTGTTATTTTTGGGGCCGACCTTTTCTAACCCCCCCTTCCACTGAGAAGGCAGCATCAGCTTGGCACTGCTGGTCATCCAAGGGAAACACCTTACTGCTGTCACACCCCATCCAGCTAGCAGCAGTACGACTTCGCCCTCAGACCCCCATCATAGTATAGCAATTTACACTATGACGGTAACTGCTTTTCGTCTAACCACTACCCAACAGACCTTTCTGGTATGGTAGGACCTCGAGGGAACAAGCGTTCCACCAGCATAGCTCGTTGGGTCATTGTGATATGCAAGCCCGACCACCACGTCAAGGTAGCAGTTGCCAACGTAAAGAAGGGTTAATTACAGTCTCCTTCTGAGTACCATCGGTTGGGTTGAAAATGTTTGATAGCAAGAGCTTCCTCAAACCGTAATAAACATGGAGTTGTTTATGTGTTGATTATCCTGAAAAATTGAGAAACATCTATTTGATGTCCTGTTTGCATGAGATGCCTGGCGATTGCGCTATGTACTTGCTTCCACCAGCTAAGGTAAATTGATATACGCAGTTGTAGGTGACGTGAGATGAGTATTTGTGTACTTTCGACTGTGTTATTCATCATAATGCATCATAAATTGAGATCAGTCTGGCAGCAGCGAAGTTACTTCTCGGTGCAGCCTTTATTCTTCTGTCTATTCTTTCAGATGTCTCATCACGTTTGAATGCTAGACGAAGGATAACAGGCTACTCAACAGTTGGATGTTTTGTCTCTCTCTGTATTGATTTACAAAACTACCTTGAATTTTACACTTTTCGGTTTGAAAAAGATCTGTGTTAACTGATAGACTAGTGTCAATTAGAAAAACATTCAAAACCACGGAGTACAGACAACTCCTTGTCACCAATACCCCTTCGTCCCTTAACTTCCCAGCAGTACACAACGTGAACCCCACATTGAATTGAATCCATAGCCATGGAAAGATGCGACATCATATTCTCCAGCTTACATCATTTCATGTTACAGTGTAATCGTCACCCAATGTCAACTTTACAGATCACATCTGTTTATTTAATTTTAAGGAGTTGCGGTTATTTCTCACCTTTTTGATAGCTGTTAATATTTCTACTTTCATGCACACTGTCGCTTTATTTCTCTGCTTCTTTTCTTCACGGATGAATAATACTAGGTGGTCTTTGTGCTATAGTGGCAATTTAATAGAGGTTATGAAATGTAGGCTGCTAATTTTCAGCTTTCTGACTAAGGTAATGCACTTGATCTTTTATGAAATACTGTACATTTCTAAGAAACGTTAAAATAAAACGACACCTCTGTAAAATGTTTTTTTTGTTTCTTATGTGATCTAAACTGTCGTCAGACCTACTATTTTTTTTTTACACTCTACTCAACTGAATTCTGCTTTGCTATTAGGGTTATAGTTAGTCTTGTTTCGACGATCTGAGTTCAGGTGAACAGTTATTTCGGCGTGTTGCTAACTTTGCTTATTATGTGAAAGTCAACATTGCTGCCCGATTGATGAAATCGCAATACGTATAGTGAGCTTCAGCTCATTGAAACCATTGGTGGATAATCGTATGCTTAATCCAACGAATCTGAGCTTTATTGACAGAAAGGTAGAAGCTACTGAAATACCATAAAAGTAATCATCACCCTTGAGTTTATAATCTAAATATTAAAACTAGTTTAACCCTCGCAATACACTTTATTGGATCTTTTATGTTCTCTAACTAGATGTTTCTTTTACTTTTTATCTCTTTTAATCTTCTTCCAGGCATAAGACTGGCGTGTAATCAATGTGATCGGACATTTCTCTCGAGAAATTGTTTAAATCAACATATCATGGGGATCCATGAAGGTGATCTATTGTCATTATTATTTCTTCTCTAAAGAATAGCTTTTGAATTCATTCATCTATTTGGAGGTTTGTGGAGGTTTACTAATTGGTTTTAGGTTGGAATTCATCATGAACTGACATCAGTTGGAGGAACATTTGAAAAGTTGAGACACTGGACAGCTATTTTCTCCTAGTATGGGACTCCTCAGCAGTGAGCAGCCATGATCCCGCCGGGGATCGAACTCATAACCTTCAGGTTCCGTGGCCAGCATGTTACTACTGAGCCACTGGGTCGGAATCAAATGGTCCACATTCCCTACTTCTGTCAGTTCACGGTATAGTGCGACTTACATCCAATATCATCGTTGATTAACTGTCCTCATGTTCGACTTGGTTGACTCCATTGGTTACGACTTCTCATTCGAACTTTCGGAATCACCTCTTAAAGCTAGTCACCAGTGAGCACTAGATTAATTCTGTCTAGAGGTTTGTGGAGGTTGGAATTCATCATAGACGACGACACTGGATGTAGGTTGCGCCATATTGTGAACTGACAGAAGTAGGAAATGTGGACCATTTGATTCCGGCCCAGTGGCTCAGTAGTAACATGCTGGCCACGGAACCTGAAGGTTATGAGTTCGATCCCCGGCAGGGTCATGGCTGCTCACTGCTGAGGAGTCCCACACTAGGACAAGATAGCTGTCCAGTGTTCCAACTTTTCAAATGTTCCTCCAACTGATATCAGTCTGTGATGAATTTCAACCTAAATTCATTCATTAGCTGTAAATTATTTTTCTGTTTTTATATAACACATAACATCACGAAACACTCGATCGTCAACCAGTCAAGCCAATGTAATGTCACATGATTTGACGCATTCGGAGATTTAATTGGCTCTATGCACAATTTTGAATGACTCTTATCTATTCTTCTGTATTCATTGAAGAATAATTATGACAAGATTTATTGATTTTGGTGTTGCTCGTTTACTAATAGCCAGCCAACAGTGTTTGCAGGATGTTCATTACTTCCCATTTGTAGCTGTTTGCTTCAAAATGAGCTTTAGTGTTCCCACAAAAATTCATGACTAAAATATGGAAATTATATATATATATATATATATATATATATATATATATATATATATATATATGCATGCTGATTTCAACTATTTTTTCACTGTATGTCAGGTCTGTGCTGTATTTGGATTCATACTTTAAACTGTAGTTAGAGCTTGAGTTTCACTGTTATTGATTTGAACAACTGAGTTCAAGTTTCAGTCACAAAAAGCACCTGTTGAACAAAATGTGGTATCATCTTTTGAAAGTTGAGTGTCATTTGAAGTCCCGTATGCTGGTTATGGTTTATAATCGGAACAATAAAACATTAGGACACAGTTACATCTAGGTGACGAATCACAAATAGAATTATATTCATACTAAAAATCAAGTTCTTAGCCACTATTAAACGAGTATCAAGGCAGTATTTAAGTCCATGAACAATGCTCTGATATTGTCACCAACGGATTGACCAATCGCTGTTTGGAAAATCAACAGGAGAAATTTCAACTAACTGATTATGACTTCTCGGTTGCACAGAAAGTTAAAATGATATAACTCAGTAGGTTAATGGATAATAATATAGTGTCTGGAGATATGCTTAGTGGGTTTGAGTGTCATGAACAATCATTTGCATTCAGACACTTGTGTTGTAAATTTTAATGTTGCATACGATTACTTATTTCATTGACATTGACACCTGTATCTTCGTAGATCCGAATGAAGAAAGGAGTCTTAGCTATGTTAATGTTTCTTTTTCATTCAGTCTACTCAATGGTGAAACGTGCAGTATATTCATCCAAGTGCTTTCGTTTAACAATAAGATCATTGTTATTATTTGTCCCTTGGGTTGCAGTGTAGCATATGGCTTCAGTACCACGTCGCCATTTTACTCTCTTCTCTGCAGTCTTTCTAACCTGGCTCCACGACTTCCCATAAGCTTTCATTTCTTCCTCACACGATTCCCTCCATATCACCCTCGCTTCGGATGTCCAACTCGTTGTTTCCCATTTCGGTTCCACTCGACGGCCTGGCCTGATGTGTAATGTCCCCTAACTGTATTCTCATTGTATGTCCAATCTATGTCCACTTTCTGCATGTTTGTTGGGTGATGGGTTCTTGGTCGGTTGGTTCGTTCCCAGCCAGCCAGAGTTCCTTGTTACTTATTATTGTTATTACTTATTATTCTGGCCATCCATTTGACCTTCAGTATCGAGTGAGCGTAGGCGGTATCTGTTGATGATGTATGTTTGTGGTTTGTTGGAAATGGTTTTCGTAACGCGTTAAGTCTCTCAACCATCACATGGAAGAACTGATATGACTGACTTAGTGTTGAAAATCCGAATCTTGTTCTTTATGCTGAGTGCATTAGTTTTCTAGTTTACTAGCCGATCCTAAGCCTAGAAAAAGAGGAGAGGTTGGGCGTGGAACTAGCTACCCTACCCCGGAAATTCAATCCAATCGCTAAAGAAACTTCAACGCACAGACGAAATATAAAAAAATAAAAATAAACAGTAATATCATACATAGTAACAATATGATAATTGTAGTGAATGCATGCTTTTTGATATGTGTAAAGGCCAATCAAAATCATAACCTTTACCACCTATTGTGGAATTACTCTTTTACAATCTAGAAGTCTACTAACCATCTCAATCTAATCATGATCATTCGGATACTTGTTTTAACTTGAATGATCGGATAGAATTCACAACTACCTGTGGAACATAAATTATTGTATTATGTAGCCGAAAATGGAGATAGCATCGGTGAATAATGGAATAAAAATGATTAGCAATATCATTGAACTTTTCTGTGTATAAAACATGGAAAGTAGAAACATCTACAAGTAACTAATAGTTGACATTATTCATTTAATGCACCAGCATTCAAGTTATAAGCCGACTTCCAACATTTATTATTCAACAGACTATCACGTACTAGTAATCCTGCATTTACATCAGTAATGCTGCTAGGAAACCCGACATCGTGTATGTACTATGAAGTGGTGAAATGTATTGATCACTTCACTTGCTAGGGGACTTGGATCAACCTGAACGGGCTGGTTGCTGACAAAATCTCAATTTGGATACAGAATGCTCATTTAGCACTAACCAACTTGCGTTGTCTGTGGAGCCAACTGTCAAGATATATTCGATCATCTATCAAAGGACGAGTGTTATACCCTCCAGTTCGTTCTGTCCTGTTGTACGCCTGTGAGACATTGCCGTTAAAAGTAGAAAACACTAAGAGGTTAGTGGGTTTTGACCACAGATGTCTTCGTAGTACTGCTCGCGTTTGATAGAATCATCGTGCGAGCAATGTTGGAGTCGGGCGAAGGGTACTTGGTAAGAGAGGCAAGTTGATTGATAAGGTTGTGAATCATCATCGGGTTAGATTACTTGGTCATGTAGTGTGCATACCGAGTTACCTCCTACCTTGGTGTGACATGCGAAAGGAAGTTGGATTAAGTTTGATAAGAGTTCAGGGTGACCAGATTAAAACTAGTTGGGGTCTACGAGGCGGTAGGAATCAGTGGTTAAGGACTCTTGGTGACATGAGTAAAAATCGATCACAATAGTGCAGATGTGTTCATTCATTGACATCTTCTAAAGCTTGAATACTTGCACTAACCTTTGTCTTCAGGTTGTTTATCCTCTCACACGATTTTGTTTACTTTGATGTCACTCTTTCTAACTACCTGTTCATTGTGTACTACTGTGAAATGTTACAACTTGAGCCGATGCGCTCGTGTGTGAGATTCTGCGTTGATTTTGTCAGTCAGTCAGTCAATCAGTCACTAAATTACAAATCATACAAATATAGGTGGTTCGTTTACTTTCCTGTTGCATAAGTTGATGGAAGTGGAGTGTCGTTTCAGCCTGCAGCTGATTGTTTGAAGGTAAAGTTTATCAGTCAATGATTTGCATTAGATATAGATTGTACTTGTGTAAGTCACAGCGGTTTTGAAATCAATCATTTCATCTTACATTGAAGAAGACGAAATAATGGCAAGTTTTCATGTTTGCTCTTTATTTACTAACGTGCCTATTAAAGATGCATTAGATCTCGTTCATAATCTACTGCTGTCAGATGCTGACCTAAGTTTACGTTGTCTATTAGATCCGGGAGAAATTTTGAAGTCCCTGGAATTACGCTGACGATCGACTGTATTCACGTTCAGAGGAGATCTCTACCAACAAACAGAAGGTATACTAATAGGACCTCCAGTATCACCAATAGTAGCTAATTTGTTCATGCATTCTTTAGAGACAAATGCCATTGCAAATTTCTCTACATCTCCGAGAATTTGGTTAAGGTACGTACACGATACGTTTGTCATCATCAAACGAAACAGTCTGGATGAACTCTTCTGTCACATAAATAATGTGTGCAAAAGTATCACTTTCATCAAGGAAGTTGAATCCAATTTGTCGAAATTAAACTTTATCGACTGTATAGTGCAAAGACAGGATTACAACAAACTACAGATTAAGATATTCAGAAAAGCAACACATTCTGACAGATATCTCGATTATCAGTCTGCACATCCTTTGACTACTAAGGTAACTGTCGCACGGAATCTAATTAACAGGGCCAACAGTCTTGTTACCACGGAAGAGGACAAAGAAGAAGAGTTGAAGTTAGTTTGCCGCACACTGAAAGCAAACAATTATTTAAAAAAAAAATGAAATTGAGGATGTGCCGAAACTCCCTCCGAGGAATTGGACAAGCACGATCGTGATCCCATATCGAAAGGAAACTTTAGAAAAGATGAGAAGGATTTTGTGCAACAATACCCTATGTTCTAACTTAGTGAAAGTTAAAGATGTAGTACCTGGAGAAAATCAGCAGAACTGCGCCTATGAAATGAAATGCGGAGACTGTACTGCAGTATATGTAGGGTGAACGGCGAGGGAGGTAAATGTGAGAGTCGATGAGCATAAACCATGTTTGTACCAGGTCCCAAAAACCTTAGCAGATGTTAAGAAACTAGAAAAGAAATCCGCGATTGCGTTGCAGTCCATAGAAATGGGACATAAAATTGACTTTGACTGAACTAAGGTTGTACGAAAAGGTTTTGGGTCATACCAAGGAAGACTGACAGCCGAAGCCGTACATATATAGGGGAATGCAGACAGTTTGAACAGACTAGATGGAGTACAGTTAGCTGTGTGTTGGCAATTACTAATTGGTAAGCAGAAAGAGTGACTCAAAGCATTTACCGTGAACACTAGTCTCAACTCCATTATTTCTGCATCGTCAACACCACAAAGTCATCATCATCACCACCATGATTGCCACTCATTTCCACTGTATTCCGGTAAATCAATGTGAAGAGAATTAATTCGCTAACACTATTCACCAGTTTATTCCAACTGAAATTGTATACATATGCAGGGCATCGTTTTCAATGTGTACTTATAAAAGTAGCGAATGACTATGTCACCAGTGATATTTACAATCAAGACGAATATGAATTGGAGTACATATATGTACACATATAACATACATATGCCATACAACAAAAGACATACACTTTCACACTGAATGATTAGGTATCATAATTAAAACAAATGAACAAACAAACAAAACAATGATTATACGAAGTGGATTGGACAAGGTACAAGTACAAGTACACGTATTTTGAATTCATTTATATATACTTGATATTTTAATTTTGATTATTTTCCTGAAGAAGCTCGGACCAGACTTGCGTGTGAAACGTTGGAATTATTTGATTTCAAACCTATTGTGACTTACACAAATACAATGTATATCTAGTGTCAACCTTTACTCCGCGCCCAATATTTCCCATACTATACGATCAAATCTTGTCCATAGTTTATATAAATGATTTGCATTTCTACAGGTGTAAAACTGAATTCATTCTTGTCCTTTCACTATCTACTGGAGTAATCAGTCTCCACCATTATCGATGTGTTTCATTTGAGTATTTTTTTGAATTTCATGTGTCAATGTTTTCTTGTAGTGCCTGTTTTACTTTGCAGTTTCGTTGCCATCTTAACTTCAGTTCTTCACAGTAGAACACCCTTATCACCTGTTCTGCAATACTTACTTAACATCTATTTACTTATGTTATTCAGTGTTTTATTATTCACATTTGTTTTCGCTTTCATTACTAGGTAAACAACTTACCTGTGATAAATGTAGCAAGAAATTCTGCTCAAGGACTCGTTTAAATAGGCATGTTAAAATTGTTCATGATGGTAGGTTATCATATATATTTTTTCAAGCTTTATGATTGTGTAAATCTGTTGGATCAGAAAAGTCTCTTGTTGTGTGATTACAACAGACGGTCATTTGAGCGGGTTCATTATGGCGATCTATATATGCCCCATATCTAATCTGTAAAGGTGTCAACAACACGTGGTTCCCTATGTGGAAATGTTTCTAGCGATTTTCCTATCTAAGTTGTGACTCAAATCAATGATTCAAGGTCTCAATATGATTATATAAAAATGGGGTTTGTGGAGTTATCTCTGTGATTAATGGATAATACAGGTAGTGAGCGAAGAAGTTGTGTACTCACTAAAAACGATTGGTTTAGACGTTAGGCATGAAAGTCTAGCACTGTTTATTATCAGCATTATTAACCATTTTAGGAATAAATGAAACGTAAACTGACGAGGGTAACAATCCACTGTTCAATGACTGTTGCTTTGAGCTGAATGACAATATGTGTACGTTTATACTAATTTCGCTTAAGTAGTAAATGTTCATTACTAAAGAACCGTAGATGACATAGTTGAATAGTTTTATAGGTTATTTCTGCTTACTATTCCACTTCCTCCTTTTTTATTTCACTAACTTTCTATCTTATTTCTGTTCCATCGTGACATGCTGAAACCAATGGTCTTGTGTGTTAAGTTCTAAGTTGTTGCGTCTATTCGTCTGTTTTTATCCTTTAGTTAAGTCACCTGTGCTTTCATATGGGATGCATTTTATGCTCACTTCATTCATTTTGTATCTTACACCCTTTTGTAGCCTATTGTCATCGTATAATCATACATCTGAGTCTCTTAGATACAGGTAATCTCTGTTAAGACATTTTGACATTTACACTGACTAATTTTTTCGATGATAATAATAATAATTCACTTTATTCCGAACAATTTGTGGTACAATTTGGAATTCTCAGCATGATATATTACAACAACAACAAAATATATCTGTATACATACTTCTTCACAACGTTTCGAATTGTTTTATTATAAAAATTCAAGTAAAGAATATTAGAGACGAGAAAATTTCACATTGTTAGTTGAATTGTTGAAATAGGGTTTTTCAACTGTTACAAGTTGATGTGTGATTTCTGTTCTAACACTTTTTTCCTCACAAAATATGCGTGCAGGGTAAGGTACAGTCGAATTCTTTTACTTAGCTGTACGAGCATACAGTCTTATGTAGTTTCTCATTGTCCTCCTTGAGGAGATATACATGGAGAGAGCTGTGAATGTAGTGGATGCTCAGTGTCAGTTAAAATTACTGTAGTTAGTTGCTTGCTGGAATTTAAGTGTCGATCAACTACAGTGTTAATCAGTTGAGCCAGAGGCACACTACTCACCCTACTGACAGCTTTTAAAGCCCTACGCAACGTGACACAGTTTTTTTTAGATGACCAGGAAGGATTTATGGGGAACAGTATAGAAGAAGAGGTAAAGTGGAGGAATTAATAAATTGTAAAAGAAGCAGTTGAGTTATACGAGACACCCTCAGTTTCTTTATGTAACAAGTTAGACGAAAATTTTTTTTCGAAGTCAACAAAATATGGAACGACCAACAAAGGTCAGAAGTAAAACTCAACCCAAGACAGTTCACACTCCATTTACTTTCTGCAGAGATACCATTGATGCAGCATGCGTCATGAGATTTAAGCAGCTCACATAAGTCTTGTTTAAGCCTGAAGCCAAAATTAACAGTCTGACATTTAGAGAGGTTTAGTTTGAGACCATTTGAGAGAGACCATTGGCCAATTACAGACAAGAATTCATTTAATTCAGTTCAATCTTAGTAAGAGTTAACTGGGATACACACCGTCATGCCATCAGCGTACTTAATATAATTCGTTTCAACAGGATAAGGTAAATCGTCCAAAAAGAACGAAAGCAGAAAAGGAGAAGGTACAGCTCCTTGAGGCACACCAGCTTCGGTATGCAATGAAGTCAAGCGCATCCCTTTATGAATAGTGTACTATTTCCTTTCAGAAAAATAAGAATGCAACCACTTTGCAACCCATGGCTCAGTGTGAGCTATGGCAAGCGTATTTAACAAGAATGGTCTAGAAAGAGGGTCAAAGGCTGATGAGTAGTCCAAAAAGGCATGACGAACGTACTTAATACCTTTGTCGAGACTAGAAACAATATTATGATACAAGGCAGTAGTTGCATCTAAAGTACTCCTCCGGTGTTTGTAAGCAAACTGTTTTGGGTCTCTGCAGGCCATCAATGAAGGCTCAATCACAAGCAGAAGTAATTTCTCCATTGTCTTCAGAAAAGGGGAAGCTATAGCGATGGGTCGAAAAGTAGCATCTGATCCAGAAGATGGCTTAGGCTCAGGTACAATTTTTATCTGCTTCCAAGCAGTGGGTATTATGTTTTTAGAGAACGATACATTGAAGATATCTGTAAGTGGATGACACAAAATATCTGCACATTTTCTAAATATGATACTAGAAACACCATCAGGACCTAAGCTTTGGGAGGGATTCAAAGACTTTAGACTTTTAAATACATCATTTGTATTGAAACCTGGAAAGCAGCTATCCACTTGATTTTGCACATTAGGAAGGGTGAAATTAGCTTGCCGATGTATAAGTGACTTGTTTAACACGCAGACATCCGAACAAGTTTGTGTTGTCATGTTTTTTACCAGTAAGCTCTAAATAGTTTCGATATATTGGAAGAATTCTTAGACGATAAGAACTTCTTGTTGTATATAGTATTCAGACGTTGTATTTCAGACTCAATTAGGCAGTTAAGCCTTTTAACGCGAGGGCGATCTCTCGCCTTATACAACCTTTCCTTTTCTCTCCGAAGCATCTTGAGATGAGGAAAGAAAGTCTGTCAAATCTGGTGTAAATTGTTTCAGTAGGGCAGCAGATATCGGGACAGAATCTGGGACAGCTTGTGATGTTGATAATAGTGTTGTCTGAAACTTCATCAGCAAATATATCCCAGTTTGTTTCTATAAGCATGCTTCTCAGACGTAATAAATTCTCTTGTAAATATCATCTGTATTGGGCTTTCCAGGAAAGGTATCCGAAATCTTTCTTGTGTAATTTGCTGTACACGTTAGACGAAACACGAACAATACAGTGGTCAGAATTTAGCAGCGGAGCCCGTTTACGGGTTTCATATATGCCAGGTTCATTCGTAAATATTAAGTCTAGGATGTTGCCAAGACGAGTGGAAAAGTTAACCATGCTTTTGTGACCCAATGATACTAGAAAACTACAGTCAGGTGTGACAATAATGTTTATATATATATACTTTTTTTCCTCAATTGTTTGGGACGACATTTGATGGTAATGCACTCATTTTTTCGTTAGAGAAGCAGAAGCATACATAGTTGGAGGAGGACCAGTTTGCATTGATAAGTGTTGTTACATCACCACCATATTTCTTTTTAAAAGCTTCGATCTTGTCGAAATAATTTGAAACCATTTAAGCAGACTAAATCATCATCATCATACGGGTTATGAAGCCATGTTTTTTATCGCATTATTACACCCATGTTTCGATAAACATTTGTAGACAAAACTGACCGAAGGTAACCAACTTTATTCGGTAACAACCTACGGTTGTGCTAAGTATTTCCGAAATGGTCATTTGATCTATAGTCATAAACTTCAGAACCGTCCACCGTGGTGCTTCTTCTTAATTTGCCTATCAACTTGTGAAGCGATAGGTTGTAATGATTTTAAAAACGTGCGAGAATATACAATACGATTGGTTGACATAATTGAAAGATTAAAACAATATAGAAATGAGAAATTTGATGCAATATATTCTGTGATGAAAAAAGTAGCCTAGAGTTCATGGAGGTCACCTGACGAAATCCACTTCATTGACACTTCATTATCTGAATATATTTTAGTTTGTCATAAATTTACCAAACAGAAGTTTATTTGTATTTAATTTCAATGGGCTTTTCCATTATTCCACTTGTTTTCTCATTCATAGGCATCAAATTGGAATGTAATCAATGCGACAAAAAGTTTTCCCGTAGATGTTACTTAAATGAACACGTCTTAATCGTACATGAAGGTATGATTTAAGTGAATTTGTCGTTATTTCAAAGATTCTGCGTACTTTCTCACTTATGTCTTCTTTAAACTAACCTACTCCGTCTGAAGTACTTTTTGGACAATACCCGTTTCTTGTATTTACTTGAGTTGAATATCAGTATTCACAGCAGATCAGAGGATTCAGCTCCATCTATTTTATATTCTTTTTAAGGTTACTTGTTACCAAAGTGTTTTCGTGAATGTTCCTCATTTATCCCTTATATATTTCTCACAGGTGATATAGACCTGGGGATGTTGTTTTATAACATAAATACTGAAAAGGTTCATGAGTGTACTACTCATTCATCTGAAAACAGCCTATTTCCTTTTGCTTGGTTTTAAATTTTTCCTACTATTCAACACTATACTACGTTAAGTGGGATACTGAGTCATTTATACTGATAAACACATCGTAAAATTAATTGACTGAGTTACATACCCAATAAGAAGAACTGGGAATTCATGATACTAGTTATTATCTAGTGATCGATTAGTATCCATTTCCTTCAATTACCAGTGCATGAAGTCCCTGACTATTGGTCTTGGCAATGTGAGGAGTTGTAGACTACCTGATTGGAGTTTCTGAGATGATAGGAATCAGTGGTTGAAGACTCAATCGGTCACAATGGCATAGATGTATTCACTCTTTGATGTTTTGTAAAGTTTTAATTTTTTGAGTGACCGTAATTTTTTACATTTCATCTCCCCTCATGCACCGTTGTCTACTTTGATATCAGATGCATTTCTCTGCGAGTTTTTATCTTGATTTGTCTGCCTATGAAGCATATTAGTATCACCTTTATGGGTGCAATGAATCCCTTGACATGAATCCTACCTTCCTTAAAGTTCCTCTAATCACAGTCCCTGTCGGTTACCACCAACCATGCAAAATCAAACTTGTGATAGAAATGTTCAGTATAGTGGGAGAATACGCGTGAATGAATTGAAATTTTAAAGTAAGATCAGTGATATGTTTCTTGTTGATTGTGATTTTAAAATGTGCTAAACGGGATCACCAACTACAATGAAAGAAAGATTTCTCAATGGAAGTTGTGTTGGTTTATGTACACTTGAGTTTGTGCATATAGCAAAAACACCAAGGTGAAATAAAGAACAAAAGTTGATTCTATCAGTCTGGTGAAGATTTATTTAACAAAGTGTAAATAAGAGGTAACGATTCAAGTCAAGCGTTTGTAAACTACACACAGCCCATAGGGAGAATAACGCAACTAGGTAAGACCCAATTGTAGTCAACCAAAATTTGAGTGGTTTGAACGATTCACTTGTCTGAGCTTGAGTTAATCACGATACCCCGCTTATGAGCTTTACACAAAATTGCCATCCGGTTTTGTAGTCACTTTAGTTTGGTTAATAAACACTACTTGGATGATCTATGAGATTTGGTTGTTTTGACACTGGACAAGAAAAACACATGTGGCTGGAACTGGAAGATCGTAGAGAGAGTGCTATTTTTTGGGCGGAATTCTCCTTACCACCCTTCCCCTCCCATAGGAAAGACATCACCAGCATCGTACCACTGTTCATCTATGGGAAATACCTTACTGCTGTCACACCTGTATCCAGACAGCAGCACAAATTCACCCTCGGAACACTATCATCGTATATAAATTTACACTATAACGGTAACCGCTTTTCGTTCAGACCTTTATGACATAATAGGCTCTCGAGGGTACAAGCGTTTCACCCAGTGCCGCCCATTGGTTCATTATGATAAGCAAGCCCTATCACTACGTCAAGGTGGCAACCGTAGGTTGAGAGCATAAGCTTTTACTTATATACAAATAAATTGAATCCTAATACATGGTTGTTCTGTTCACTTTTTCTGAAACAAGTTGGAAGAGCATAGTTACTGACTTTTCTGAGTCACACGTGATTTTATATCCATTTTAGTGCGACAAAAATAAGCAATTTAAGTAATAAGTAAACAACCCATTACATAACATGAGTGTCGAATTTCTATGATATTAGTCAACCTTGCCTGGTTAACTAGTTCACTAGTTACTAACCGGTCCTAAGCCCGGATAAAGAGGGAAGGTTGGGCATAGGGTTAGCAACCCTACCCAGTAAAACCAATCCAATCGCTACAGAAACTTCAAAGCACAAAGAAAATATAAGACATAAAAACCAACTTATTACTCGCTGGAATCGAATAGACGAGATGACATCAGTTGGTGAAAGTCTTCGGGAAGCCAGTCGGCCGATGTGTCTTCTCTCGATGAAAACGAAAGTAAGGATGGAGACATGGAATATCCGCACCATGTATGAACCTAGCAAGGTTGCCGAAGGAAAAAATAATAATGATATTAGTCATGTCATCATTTAGTGATGTTTTAAATTTTTGCAGATACAGACCAATCTATCGTTTTTGATGATATCTGTTTAATCTAACATACTGTCTTTACTATTGTTGATTGTCATTATTATTACTAACTGTGACACATATATCGTCTGAAGATTTAAGCACTTTCAGATTTCTACACATGAATGATATATTACTAGTCTGCAACCTGTGCGTCTATCGCTAGTCATCTGTCGTCCATTTAATAAGTTATTTTGAACATTAGAAAGTAGGAAAATGTTTGAAAAATTCGGAAAGCATCATTGGTGTTATTTTTAAAACACACAGTGTGGTGTTGTGCATCCTAAAAGTACAACTCAACCCACTCCAGGTTTATGTAACAGACTGTAGGCCATATTAATGTGAGGTCTTGTCGTGCTACCTGATAACCGAGGTCAAATTTGGTCACTTAGGCTTCTAACTCAAAACTGGTTTCCCAAGCTTCGAGTGTTTAAACCAATGTCCAAGTTTAGTACCTACAAAGTAGTATATGCTAACGATTTATAATAAAGCATGATACTGTTTCATTTCCCCTTGAGATGCCTGCGTCTTCAGAATTGTGACACATTTGTTGGTGTTCACGCCTAATCGAGCTTGCGCATTTAACAAACGAATGAAATGATGTTTTTTAAATAGTTAACTAAATATTTCGTCCCATTATTATTATTCTCTTCTATAGGCGTAAAAGTCACCTGTGATCTATGTGACAAAGAGTTTGCTTCCAAAGCGAATCTTGATGAACATAACAGAATTATTCATGAAGGTCAGTTACCATAGTGTGCCGTACTTAGATATTATCTATGCTTTTCTATAGGTGGACTATGCAAAGGTTACATGTTTATTTTCTTTAGGATTTAATGTCTATGTGTACACAAAGATGCTATCAAAACGTCATCAACTTAGTTCTCGATGTCTAAGTGTCCTATAGTGAGTAATTTTTGTGTAATAAAGCACTTTAGAGTCACTTCCTGTCGTGGCATTAAAGCTCTGTGATAAGTCTCTCACATTGACACTGAGCAAATCTCAAACAGAAAATTAGTTTCCTCAGTTGTGCAGGTACATCTTACTGATAAATGCAAGCATTCGATACTTCAATACAGTTTACTTATTATATTGTTCTGCTCACATCATGCTGCAAGCCAAAAGTTTCTTGGACATAAGTATGGATACGATATGTAGATGACACGTTTACAGTGTTGAAATTTGCGAACATGCATAGTTTCTTTTCACATATAAATTCAGTAGTCAAAGCAATTTAATTCATCTATGAACTGGAAATTAGTGGAATGGAATTAACGATGTTGGATTGCAGAATAACGCAAAAATGAGATGGAAATTTAGACACTAGTATCTACAGAAAACCGAGAAGTAATTTGGAAACTGCTTCACTACTACGGAGTACCGCAAACCTTTATCAGCCTCATTCATTCAGCAAACAGCAGGCAGCGAGAAGAGGGGGATACACTGGACTGCGGAAAAGAACCTAGAAGACTTGGATTTCGCCAATGATGACTTGTGCCTAATGTCACATAAACTTGAAGATCTGCAGGCAAAAACTAACAAGTTGATAGAAGAGGCAGCGAAGACTGGACTTCAGGTGAATATAGAGAAGACAGAGGTGGAGGTGATGAAGATACCGCACCATCAACAACAACAAACTCCAATCACCATCAACGGGAGAAACTTAAAGGAAGTAACCTCCTTCGCCTATCTAGGAGGCACTGTTTCAACTACAGGCGGGACAGACGAGGACGTCAAAGTCAGAATCGGAAAAGCAAGACAGGCGTTCATTAGCCTGAAACCAGTGTGGAGATCTTCTGCACTGCACTCAGCATGCGGAACAAGATCCGGATTTTCAACACCAACGTCAAGTCAGTGCTTTTGTATGGTTCAGAGACTTGGCGCGTTACGAAAGGTATTTCCAATAAACTACAGACATTCATCAACAACTGCTTACGCTCACTCGCTACTGAAGATCAGATGGATGGTCAGAAAGGATAAGCAACAAGGAACTTTGGGAACGAACCAACCAAGAACTTATCACGCAACAAATATGCAGGAGGAAGTGGAGATGGATTGGGCATGCACTGAGAAGGCCGACTGAGGACATCACGCGTCAGACCAGATGCTCGAGTGGAATCCCCATGGGAAGTGACGAGTTGGACGTCCGAGGGTGACATGGAGGAGGTCGTGCGAGGAGGAAATGAGAGCTTGTGGGCAGTCGTGGAGCCAGGTTCAAAAGATTGCAGAGAACAGAGGTCACTGGAGGCGTGCTACTGAAGCCCTATGTTCCACTAGGAACCCAAGGGACTAATAATAATAATAATAAATACTCAACAACATCTACCCTATTAAGTTAGTTGATAAGATCCTTCGGAACCGAAGCCCTATGTTCCATTAGGAAACCAAGGGACGAACAATAATGTATTAACACATGTGTTAATCGTAATAATAATAATAATTTTAATCATAGTAGTACAACACCGTAAAGAGAGAATGCGAAACCTCTACTGAGTTACCACACATGAAAGGCACCTGAGAAACAGTACGTAGGATTCTCAATAAGGGTGTAATTTGAGCGGTATTTAAACCTAAAAACTCACTCTAAAATAAGCTTTGTAAGTTAGAAGATCCTTTTGATCCAATTGAGCAGAATAATTTTGTTTCCGAAATCTAGCTATGCTTGTAATTACACACAATAGGATAGAAGAGGTTGAAAATCCTTAAAACTAAAGTAGAAAAGTGGATAGAGAAATTGACAGCGGAATCTTGGTTTATCGAATCAACACCTAATAAATGCAACAGAAATGACTTAGCGCATATTCCGGATACATACAAAATCCTACTACCCATATCATAAACGGAGGTGAGAAAATTAGAACTATGTAAATCATATCTCAAAGTTGTGGAGTTACTTTTATATGACTATGGACAATAAATTGTGTCCGAAACGTAATCCAATAAGTAACTCTGTTCCACTGTGTGCTACATCTAATAAATCGTATTTCAACTTCAGGAATTACTCTGAAACGGTGTGTACTTTCCATTATATGTTCACTAATTTACAGCTAAGAGGATGAGTTCATCAAGAGGGAAATTTTTATTTTTACTAAAATGATATTCTTTTTTTCCCTAAGAAATACACTGATATTAGAAAAATACCTATTCAAGTCCTTAACACTGAAAAGCCTTAAACTGGTGAAAACGTTTTCGACTAGTTTCTAAATAAGACTCATATTTAATTCCTGTACACTTTAAAGAGAGGGTTCGTTGAACTCTCAAGGAGGATGCTTTATGTTCTAGATTCATTTGGAGATGCTATCTTTCTTTCAAAAGCAGTGTCATAAGCATCTTAATACATAGGAATCGTTTGTTCAGTGATAGGATTTGCAAACTGTCATTTTTTTTCTACTGGGATTTTCTATCGTTGGTACCCAACTTGTTTATATGACCTATGGTATATTCTTCAGGATGTTACTGACACATCAAGAATAAAGAATTAACCGTTGCGGAAAATAACCCACTGCTTTAGACCCTCAAGATTTATATATCAGCTATTGTTTCTGATCCCATTCTGTGTACCAAACTTCAGTCAGTCATATGTTTTCGTTAACTTCCAAGTCATAAATTTTGTTCAAAGTTCTTCGCAGACTATACAGACTCGTCAGTCATGAGTTACATTGGTTCTAACTAGTCTTATCGATAAAATCTCTCACATGATTCACTCGGTCTTCCAGTTACTACTATACGCTAAGATGATTATAATTTTCGGGGACTTTTCTGTTACAATGAAGCATTTGACATATTTATCTGATAATTCAGCAGACATGAACTATTGAAACTTATAACTTACTTGCGCCATTACATATTACTTTTCTCCTGTGTAACTACATATATGATGGTGGGACTTTCTACTTTTTTAACCATTAGGAATAAAGTATCCATGTGATCAATGCGAAAGAAAGTTTACCTCTAAATGTAACCTAAATGAACATATGAAAGTCATTCATGAAGGTGAGTTGTTATTATTTTTAAAAATGAAGATGATGTAGTGTTCTCAATAGTTGTTTATTAATGTTAACTATATTGTGTATTGATGGAGTTAAATTAAGCCCAGTTTTAAATGTACCATTTTCCCACAACTGTACTAACTGATCAAAAGAAATATAACTATTTCTTGATGCACTTGTAATTCTTCGTTGTTACATTGGATCGAATTGTTCGACCTCTGCTGGTATATGCGTTCCTTTGCGGATGTCTCGATATTGCCTGAATATTTATCATGGTAACTTACTTGGTTATGGCTAGTGGAGGAATCCAGGACATGTGTTTCGTCTTATTTAGGACTCGCCAGTTGGACGTACCTGCACTCCAGTGGGTGATGTTATTCCCACTGGGACTCGAATCTCGTCCCAAATAGGACGAAACGCGCGTTCCGGATTCCTCTGCTAGCGATAACCAAGTAACTTACCATAATAAATATCCAGGCAGTATCGGGGCATCCGTATAGTAGCCCATAAGTCAATAGAGGTCGGATAATTCGACACAGTAAAACAACGGAGAATTACAAGCATATCCATCAATAGTAATAACTAGTACCCATTGTACAAGAGGTGCATCTTGCATTGTGCCTCTATGGTCTGGTGGACAACACTTTGGCGTTTGAAGCGATGGTTATGAGGTTCGAGTCTCGGTGTGAAGAACATCACTCACTGGAGTGCAGGTACATCCAAGTGACGAGTCCTAAATAAGACGAAATGCGCATCCTGGATTCTTCTGCCAGTCACAACCAAGTAAATTATCAATTCTCCAATTACAGGCAATACGATTAGTTTGGAATCGTTCCTTTCGCTTCTGACCTCTTTTGTCATCTGCTTGTTATGGTGTGGAAAATGATAAGTATATTAGGAGAAACATTGAAGAAATTAGGGTCATAGTTTGAACTACTACGTGCATTGGTGACCACTATTTTGAACCTTATGTGTGGATTAAATAGGATGATTAGTCTGTTGATTTCTGCCTTCTTTCCTGACAATTGGTATTTCCTGTTTATAGGTATGAGGTCTACTTCAATTAAATCACTTACTCTTTGAGATTCTGACATTCTACGAAGACTAGTTACAAAGCAATTTAAAAAAGCTATTCTCACTTCGTAAAAATACTAGGTTATAAGACAAAACTGTACATCACAGTGTTTTTCAAAAATAATCAACATTATCTGCTCTCTGTTTGCAAAAAGAGTTAAAAAAAATTGACTTGAAAGGTGGTAAATGTTTTGCAATATGGAGTTTAGTCACCTATGGTTAAATTGTTCAAAGTACCAAACCAGCCAAATAAAAGATATTTCTTAGAACACATTGGACGTACATCTTTGATACTTTGTAGTTAGGCTGTTCAATTAATCACTTGCCTCTTTCACGGTTTCTATGGGATTAGTAACATTTTACGGTATAAGGTTTATATTTTCTTGTTTCTTTTAATAGCCTTCATCTCCCATGCTGATTTTTCTTATGTTAGTTTAAACAAACTGAGTATCCTGATAAGTTTTGAATTCACTCTTCTGGATGTATTTTCAATTCATATATGCTTATCTTAATACATATCTTCCCACTTAACAAACTGGATATCTGTTGCTAAATATACACGATGTCTTACTTATTTTCTCTGCAAAAAAATTTTTAGTTGGTTTGTCAGACTTCGCTCACCCACTAGGTTTATTCGACAGTTGTATCCGATATCTAATTCGCCTTTATTATTCTTCTATGTAATTTTTGATAACCTGTGCAATGGGATTTACATTTCAATTTCTTTACTACATTATACATAATACACGGTGAAACAGTATTATTTATTTACTGAATAACTTTCCAAACACAATTTTTTGTCCTTAGTCATATCAAGGTTAACCTACGACCTTGTGATATGATTTTTATGGTTCTAATTCTTTTTAATATAGGGGTAAAACTTATGCACTGTAGTAGATTGTAATTCCATTTGTCTGTTTAAATGTCACGCAGGAAAACAATATCATCTACTGGATAACGTTTATTCCCCATATTCATGTGATTATGAATAAATAAATTGTGTCCGAAACGTTATTCAGTAAATAAATACCGTATGACATTTCTCATAAACAGACTAAAATGGAATCTAATTCTCTTTCCTTTTTTTGATTAGGGTAGGAGAATTTTTCGTATATCTGAAATAGGTGCTACGTCATTCCTGTTGCATGCTGATTATATATATATATTCACCTTCTGACCACTCCCTCTACCCAACTAAGTTACACTTCGGGAGTGTCTCTGTGTCCCATTGTCTTGAAAAGCGAAAGGCTAGATATAATATGCATTTACATAGTAGGATGAAACAGAGTGACTTACAAAATTAATTCAGTTTGATCAAGGTGGGGAGGTGGAGATTGATAACCGAATTTTTGTTTTTCCAACAGATACCTAATACATTCTCACCAGGAATGACTTAGCACTTGTTCCGCTATCTATATCACAAAGGAGAGATCTAGCACTATATAAAACATTCATATGACTACGGATAATAAATTGTCTCTAGAATGTTATTCGATCTATAATACAATACGAAATGGAAGTGCAACCCACCACAGTGACGGAGTTTTACACTTATTTATAATGGTGTGAATTCATACATTGGAGCTTTGAAGTTAAGATGTGAGATAATTCCCCTCATCATTATACTTACATGGTGATTGAAATTGCACAGTGTGAATGACTTTGTAGTTTTTAAATCAATGATTTTCGGACATCAAGCCACCAGATTGAAACCTTAGTTGCCTATTTTAATTAACTATACTATCAGTCTCCTGTTGAATTTGAGTAATAAAGAAACCATTTTTGGTTGATGTATGATGAGTTCTAAAAAGGAATAAATGGATATCTTAGGTTCCATTGCCTGGTTTTTATGTTATAGAAACATGGAAACGATTAATACGGAGGTAAAAATTGAAATAAAGAAAAATCTTCATGGTTCAGTTTCAACTAGCCTTTCCTAGGTTCATAACCGTCTGAGCATCGAAGCTTGACTGTCTCATTCTATAACGTCCACTCGTTTTGTGGGTTGTCTTCAATATACCGACACTTTGAAATGGTTAAGAAAGTTTCATTCTACTAGTTTATTCGGCTAAAACAATGAAAAGAATAAAAAAATGTTTTGGCAAACACGCCAATTTTTTTGTAGCGAAAAGGTGTAGATACTAGTTAGTGTATGATGAGGAAGGCGTGAAAATCTAAACTGGACATGAAATGAATAGGTTGCGTTAAAAAAATCCCTAGTTGAGATGGATTGGATAAATGGGATGATATTTTTGTATATTGGGGACTATAATTCACGTGACAGGATATTAAGAGTTGTGATCTGCGTATATCCGTGATCCCGAAGGTTTCTTTAGATTTATTCAATATCTTCATGTCACACACTCATGCAAATCAACGTAGATTCTTATGCAGAAGTGCTTTAATTCAACCTCACGAATGATTGATAATATCCTAAAGATCCCATCCAAATAATCATCACCTCTCTACACCACTCACATAAACAGTCAGAGACTTCACGAATTTGTACCTTATCTCAAGATAAGGCTCCTCTTGACCCTTGATCTTATGTAAATGGATCAGCAATAGTCAGATTAATACCTGTGTGCTACTGTGAATATTATCAGGCTTAGCTTTATTATTAGGATATAGTACTCGATAACTCCTGTAAGTTACGTCTTGGCTCTCTTCCTCAACAAACGCTAATATTATGGAATTCCTTCAATTTGTCTGCGAATGATTATTTTATTATTATTAGGTATCCCACCAATGTTAGTATCATCCATCCTAGCTGCTCTATTGTTTTTTTTTAACACGAATTTACTTTGCTTCCCTTTAATCTTTACAGGAATCGCATTTCCTTGTGAACAGTGTGATAAAAAATTCACTTCAAAAACTACTCTTGGCCGGCACATAAAAGCAATTCATGAAGGTAAGAACTGTTTATAGCTACAATTTTTGTGAATTTTTTAGTAATCTAGCCTTCTACCCATCCTTTGTTTTCTTTTTTTTTTTTTACCGTCCAGCTTTTACTTTGAAATCTGTATTGTTTACCTTCTTTTGTGTGATTCCTATTCCAAGATGTGATGCTTTATGTCCACAATCGTGTAGACAGTGGGACCCAACTCGTTTACCTTGTTATGCTATGTACTTGATATGAATAAATGCCTTTTTATGATGGATGTGGTTAACGGTATTTAACGACATTTTCGATGAAAACAGGAAATATTTTTCAACTAGTGTTCGAACCTAACCTTATCTACCAATGTTTGGGCAACTAGGTAGTATCGTCAACACCCACACAATAAGTGTAACTCATTCCTTGCTGCACGAACATACAGAAGGATACTGAGTGAATTTCGATTTTTTATGCTTTTTAAGTCAAAATAAGTGGAATAAAACGAGCAAGTTACGCAATGATTGCTAATTAAGAAAGTAAAACGATTGATTGCACATTTGCTTACAAGTGATTAGATACAAAGTTAGATCCATCATGAGTATGTCGGACTTTCATTTATTTTCTTACTTGTCCATTTGTTCGTTTTCATTCTTAGTCACATCTGATGAGATAGAGACTTTTTTTTTCCAGATTTATTAATAAATGAATGGTGTATCTTTGGCTTGAGTACAGTGTAAACAGTATCAAGTCTAACGATCATTGCGAGAGTATGTTTTTCCTATAGTATTCTTAGCTAATTATCAGGTGACCACTATAGTGCTGTAATAGCTTCATCAGGACACGTTTTGGTTGTTTCATTGTGCTTGATCGGTATAGTTTTAAAGGAGATGTAATTTACTCAGTCTGCATGCTTACATTATACATGATTTATTTCTATTCCACTGATTTTGCAGCATCAGCTTGCATGTTTCAGTTTTTATTTATTTATAAATAATTGTTTATTCTTACTAACATGTATTGGGGGAAAAACTCATTATTTGATTGATGTTTGCTTTTCAAAGGCTGACAAAATTTGAACCCTCAAATTAAACCGATGGTTCATCCGTTGTATTTTCGTTCAAGGTACTTATAAAAATTGTTTTGTCTTTTCCTCATATACATTGTGTGTAGGTTTCTGGTGTAGGTTTTACTTATGGCTCCAAGAGTTTCAAAAGTATTACCACTTGATGCCAGATTGATGGTGAAATGTGTATTATGTAACATTTTGGCACATGGAGCTCTACTTCATTCATATAAGACCTGGTGTCTCTCAGCTAATGATGTACGAAGACTGTGTCCGACTAATCAGTCAGTCAGCATCAATTACTGCATGATGACCGTAAGATGAAAATAAAATGGGACAAGGCAAATAAAAAAATGTTGTATTACTTTCAAGATAGAGATTAGATGTGATTGCATCTGCTCCAGCATGACTGATTCAGAGCTATATCACGTAGATTCTCCAGCCAACAGTATCGATTGCCATTTTGACTTCAACGGAGAAGCCTGCCTTTCCCAACACGGCGCAAAACAACAGCCAGAAACTTAATGGATAGATGCGACTTTCTAGCCTGGTCACATCTGACGTTCATCCAACTTAACCGTAATTCAGCTATCAGTGCACGTCTAAGAGGAAGGTGACTAGGCATGCGCAATATATGCACTAATCATGTGGGTCGATGAAGGTTCACAACTTCACCAACTGACTTACTCTTTTTCCGAAAACTTTGCATCTAAACAGTACGTCTTTAATGTAATGGTTCCATGGCGCTTGGTTAGTACTACGGAGGCATTTGTGACCGAATACCTGAAGCCTTCTCATGATATCCACCTTTATTGACCATGTTTCACAGCCATGTAGTAGAACAAATTGAACTGCTATACAATACACTCAACTCTTAATCGACAGTCAGCTGTCTTATATATAATGTAAATCGACTAAAGCCAAAGGAACTTTCTTAACCTTACCAGGATTTTATCAGTCACTGGCTCATCAGGTATGATGAGAGTTCCCGAGTAGATAAAGACATCTATGCATCGAACCAACTGACTTTTCATTGTAAGATGGCAGGGAGTCAGAATAATTCTGAAGCAGCAATATACGTTTGGATGGTGATAGATATGCCAAACATCTTCAAGCGGCTACTCAATGTTTCAAGAGGATTGCATCTCTTCTGCATCTTCACCTAACTGAAATGTGTCGTCCTGCTAATCTAGGTTAATCCAGGGGTCCCCTATGCTTTGATCATTACTTCTAAAGATGGACGAGGAAAAATATGCTTCCGTGAACGTGTCTATTATAAAATTAAATATGAATATCGAAAATAGCACCACTGACGGACGTCGTTCAAAGTACGCGGCTCACTTGATACCTCTATGGGCAATGTACTCATTTGGTCTCTTTTTAAATGGAATACACTTATATAATCTTTCGGTTGACAATGTCAACTGCGTGTCGAGAAGTACAAATAGTGTTGGGGATCGCTACATTTGCCTGTTGTCCAAGACCTGTCAGAAGGATGAATATCTGGTCGATAGACTTATGAACAGGTCTGAAACCTTTCTGGTCCTGTCAAGTTAGGTGTTCCTAGAAGTGGCGTCTTAGTGAACTTCTGCATAGCTTAGTCTATGCACTCATGTATTTGAGATCTCCTGCGACGACAGCCGCATCTGAAAGTTTGGCTCTTAGTTAAAGGTTAGACATCTTTCAGTAGAACTCATTTTTCACCCCATCGAAACGGTAGTTATTGGGTGTGTAAGCAGAGACAAAAATTGTAACAGCAGGTTTCACTATAGTTCTAAGTTTTCACTCCACTATACGGATGACTGTCAACTTGGATCCTGTCGAAAAGTGGACTTTTTACGTAACACAATACTATACCTACACCTGTAAGACCGCGAGAACTAGCCATCAAAATTTCCAGCCACTTGAAGAGGGAATTTCGCGGATTCACCAAATACGCCATTTGAGGTCAACAGATAACCATACGCGGGTCCTTTATCTCCCAAGCGAATAACATATATTCATGGTCTAATACTAAAATTTTGGTTAGCAAAGAAATAGAGGAGTAACGTTCTCTCAATCTTTTTTCTCTAAGACAGTAACTTCGTAACATACTGGTAATTCCGAATTGTATCGAAATTGTTTGGAAAACAGTTATCACTATTATTGTTACCCTTATTATTTATGTATAGTACTGGTTAGTTAACTGTGGGAAAGTCCTACTACCGTCACGCCTTACAGTTTGCCGTACGACTCTGACCTCAAATCCCGTACTATGACGTAAACTATTCGCATTATAACAGTGACTACTTTTGGTTGTACCAGTATTCAGGAAATCTATCTCTCATAGTTAAGTCCTTTAGGAATGATAGTACCAACCAGCACAGGTTAATAGGCCGTTGTAATATACAAGCCGAACTATTGCATCTGGAGGGCAGCTGTTAATTACCTGTGTCCAACCTATTCGAATGTTTGATGTTGCCTGATTGTAAATTGAGGAAGAGAAAAATACATATAAGCGAGCAACATTGTTTTCAGTCAGATCTTATTCAGGTATATATATATATATATATATATATATATATATATATATATATATATATATATATATATACCTGAATAAGATCTGATTGAAAACAATGTTGCTCGCTTATATGTATTTTTCTCTCTCAATTTACAATGGGGCAACATCACCTTGTTTAACCGCTTACTTCGTCTTTTCGTATTATGCAACTTTTATTTTTCCAAGCTTTTAACCCACTCTGATTATCAGGGAATGGGGCGGGGACTCTGAAAGCTATTCTAGCAACTATCGAAAGGACTAATTAGATTCCTTCATTTCGGTTGGAAAGGCAGATTTTCGTAAAATAGAGGACTCCGATTGGTTATTTCAGTTGTTGCTAGGGTGGCTTATAAAGTCACTCATTATCGGGGTGTCTAAGTTTTCATGCTTCTTTCTTAGTTCTTATCATCATTATCACCTATATTACAACTACATTAGTCAACGTTATCATTTTATTTTTTGTATTATTATCACCATTGTTATTTTAAAATATCACATTAATCGACAAATTTACATGATTGGTTTAACTTATATACATACACTTAGCTGTTTATATTAGAGTAAAGCCCGAAATGCATCTAATTGAAAACAATATTGTTCGCTTGTATATCTTGTTCTAATTTACATGAAGAGATACTTATCTTTGTTAGAGTAAAATTGTTTTTTGTTACTGTCAAACTGTGCACAATTATTGGTTTGTTCGGTCAATTCGCTCTCGGTTGACGAATGACTGTTTTCTTTCTAAGTAGATTGTAGGTTGGGTGTATATCTACATGTCCGTTGATTGACTTTTCATTGAAATACTATGCTTCTAGAAATCCTCTTGCAGCTTTTGAATCTGCTCTCTAGAGAGGGTTTCCACATTCACCCAGTCTAATTTGTGTTTGTGATTGATCGACAAAATCAATGTTGAACCTTGTACACGGGTATATCGGCTCAAGTTGCCACACTTCACAGAAGTACATGAAGAACAGATGGTTTAATTGATATCAAAGTAGGCAGAGTAGTGTGCGACAACAAACAATCTGAATATAATGGTTAGTGCGAATATTCAAGCTTTAGAGATGTCAATGAGTGAATACATCTACGCCATTGTGACCTATTTTCAGCCATGTCACCAGGAGTACTCAACTAATGATTCCGTTCGTCTCGGGCACATTCAACCAGGCAGTCTACATCTCCCTACACGGCTCAGACCAACAGTAAGAGACTTCATCGACTGGTGTTAGTTCTTGGTCTGGCCATCCTGAACCCTTCACCAATCTAATTCAACTTCCCATGGCATGGGACATCGAAGTGGGGGTGTGACTGGGCATGCGCAGTACATGTCGAAGCTATCTCAGCCGATGAAGGTTCACAACCTCACCAATCTACCTGCTTGTCTTGCTAGTTGGTGTTCGTGAATTCTTTGAGGGATCTAATGGCTAAGCTGACCAACTTAGTGTTGTGAGCGATCATTGCAATTGACTTTGTAGGTTATATTTCTCCTGTCTTCCTTTGGTTTGCCCAATATGGTGTGTTATCATGAAGTTGGTTTGTGTGCTACTCGGATTCCGAACTTTTGAATCAGTCGGTTAGTAGTTTCTGAGATATCTTTGATGTAGACTAGCGTAACGTGTCGATTGATTTGAGGTAATTGCCCTATCTCTGGTCCTGCTGATAAACACTTTTTGATAAATTTGAGTGGGTAATCGTTGTCTTCGAACAGTTTCTACAGGTATTTTTCTTCGACTTTCCGTGGTATTTTAGTGCTATAATGTGTTTCGGCTCTTAAGAATGGTGTTTGTACACAATATTTCTCGTAGACTATTTAATGATTACCTTTATAGTTTAAAATTTGATCAGTGTATGTGGCTTCCCTGTACTTTTAGTTTGTAAATTCGTGTTCTGCTGTTGTTAACTCCCCTTTCCTCCTTTATGAAATGAAATCCTTCAAATGTTTGATTGATTAGTTTGAACGTTCTTTGTATTTTATCGTCTTTTCGAATTACGAATTTGTTGTTGACGTATAAAATCCAAATTTTCTATCTAATGAGAAGGGTAATCGTTGATTGCAGCTGCTGCATCACTGTGTCAGCAGTCAGTTTCATAGGTTTCCCTTTTGTTTGTTACCAAATCTTCCCATTGAACTACAAATAGGTCTTGAGACATAGATGAATCAACTCTCTTCGATTTGATATGTTGAATAGTCCGGTAACATTTCGACCATCCTCAGTCTTAAATTTTGTTCACTGTATTCTTTCACAGTTCGATATTCACATGACTGTTGAAAATTGTCCTTCATTACATTTTATGGTCAACTCGATGTTTGATCGAATGGTACTTTCATGTATGCGTTTCGACTCCATCCATTTCTTGATCACATTAATTATTTTTCACTGAACATTAAGTTTTAGTGAGTATTCATTATATCCTAACCATTGGATAGTCGCTATTCAACATCAGGACTGATTTACAAATTTCTTTCTTTTGATAAAGGTGTACGAATGTCTTGTGATCAGTGTGAAAGACGATTTTTGAATAAATCTCTCTTAAACGAACATATTCGAGTTGTTCATGAAGGTGAGTTTATTAGTGAAGTAATAAATTATCTTTATAGATATCCAAACCAAATTGGAATTTGATGGTTTGAAAAAGTTTGGGTATTAAGTAAACGAAATTCAATATTTTGGTATTTGTATTTCTCCCATGAATGTAAAACAAAATAAATTTGTTTCAATTGATGTTCCACTAATAGCTTTATCAAAGTAAACCGGAATATATATAATAATCTAAGCTTATATATGATAAGTTGACAAGTATTCTTCTGTATGAATGGTTTTGCGTTGTCAGAATCGTGTTCATAAAATAAAGTGCTCAGACTGTAATGTAATGTACATAAATAAACTTCCCATGAAATCAAAATTAAAACAAAGTGAACATCGAAAAGCTTCCATACAACTCCCTTGAAATCTAATGAAACTGAGAAAAACTAGAAAACACTTCAGCAGTATCTCTACACACTATTATTTCAGGTCATAAGGTTGATTTTGACATTATCGAAATTATTCAGAAAGCCTTAGAAATTATAAAGAACGTCTCGTAGCAGAATCTCTCCACATTAAATGGAGTCAAAATTATCTAAATAGTAATGAGGCAATAAAAAATAGCTTGCATGGTTCTTTTACCAAATAGTCTAATCTTATATGGAACTTAACTATTGAAGGATAGCCAGTCAAAAAGCTTGTATTACTCAAATTTAATACGACGACTAACTTCTCAGTTTTATTCTGGTTTTCATTCAGAATTTCGCCTTACTCTCACTGTTACTGTAACTAGCATCATCACCCAATGCAGAGAGTTTCCACAACAAATGATGCAACATTATCAAGTTCATAGCCTCATGATTTAATTAGAGTTATTAAACATTCATCTTTGAATCGCGTTATTAACCAAAGTTTTTTCACAGTTGTTAGACATCTGATGTCTAAAAGGTTAAAGCCACTATAGGCTAGCTAAGCAACTGCACTTCATCTACTAAAATAGTTGAGAAATATACTGCATATACCTACTCATTGTTAGTTTGAATAGGTATGCATCTGAAGAAAACTTAGTGCGGTAGAATGAAACAGTACCAACCCACTAAGTCAATAGCCGATGGTCTGATTACTACATAGAAAGATAGACCCTTTTTTGAAGCAGCAGAAAACACTGGTTGGTTGGTTGGTTGATATTGCATAGAATTGTTCACAGTGGAACACACAGTTCCACGTCATATTTTCATTTAGATTTTGAAAACCTTATCCACTTTTCACTTTATATTTTTGACAGTACTGTTGATGTGTATATATATGTATAGTTTTCGCATTTCATCGTGAATATCAACATAGGACCAGGCATTACTGCGTAACGGTCCGAGTTCCCACAGCTCATATCAGGACACCAAGTAAAAAGGCAGTGAAATGGAAGATGAAGAAAAGAAAATTCAGTCAAAAGAAATATAAAGTACGAAAAGAGAGAAAGGAAGGATGGCAAAATGGTGAGATTCGGTATGGCGTCGTTAAGATGAGGATAATGTGTGTATACATCTGCACCACTGACATCGGTTCTGAGCCATGTGAACACCTAGAGTCTCCAGCCACTGGTTCCTTTTGTCCCGTGGACCCCAACCGGCTAGTTTACATCGCGCCACATGGCTCAAACCGACAGTTAAAGGCTTCAAATATTGGTGCCATGTGTTTCCACATTTCAGTTCCTCCCGATATTTTAGTGGGAAATACTGGGATAGATGTTTTCGATACAAATCTATTTGCTTCTGCTTCATAACAGCACTTTATACTTATTTACCTTTTTCTTCACTATATTCTAGGTTTATCGTTCAAGTGTGAAGAGTGTGGTAATGGATTTGTGAAGATGACTAGCTTAAGAGATCATGTAAACAGTAAACATGGAGGTTCGTTTTTTTCTAATTTTCATTGTTATATCTTTGTTTTACATTTTAAACATTTTATTTGTAGTGAAGTGTTCTGCAAATTATACTAAGGGAGTGCTTATTTCTTATCAACACAATAATGCTAGACAACACCACAACCACGAAATTTACCGTTTTAAACTGGTATTATAAAGCATTAGCTTCTTATGTATCTTGTTTGGTTATTGTTAATGGTATAAAGTTACTTTGTGAGTTTTTTTTAATCAGCCTACACAGTATGCTTGTCTAATATCCTCAGCTACATGATCTTTGTATTTTTTTGCTGAAATAAATCTTCGCCAATCACCTTTCGTATAGATTCGAAGCAACTATATTTAATTCATGAGACCTGTCAAAGTGTTCCCTCTGTATACTACTGAATTGGCATCTGTAGTTAAAAATTACTCTAACTTGTTGGCATTAAACTTATTGGTCAAGTCGAGATAATAAAAATACGTGATGACCGTTTCACTTTTCTAAAGTCTAGCTCATTAACTGTGTAGGCTAAATGTACCTAGTAAGTACCATTATGGATTGTTCAGAATAGTTGTGAACTACTCATGTCAACTAGTAGTATATAATACACAGTTCCTTTGCTTACCTTCTTGCCATCAATCTGGGTATCGGAGAAGTTACAGTTTCTCATCTGAAAAAGTTAGTTTTGAAAGAAAAGCACAGTAGGATTTCAGATTTATATTGCATCCAGTGAGTCATTTTCATCTCGGATTGTGGAATATTTCAAGCATTTCCCTTGATTCTGTCAAAGTATTCAATTTGTAAATTTTATAGCGATCTCTGTTACTCTTAACATGTTGAGTGTGTGTGATCAATGGGTTGTTGAGTTTCGAAAGTTAATGTTCACAGTTTTGTATACTTTCAACCAGAATCTCTTACACTGTTTGTCTTCATATAGAATCATGCTTCTCATATAGTGAATATGCTCATCATGTAAGACACAATGGACACAACAAGTATGTTGTATAAATGTTTTCATCCTCCGTCCTGCATTCTTTTTGTTTGTTCTAAAATGTTCATTCTTAAGTTACGGTTTTTTACGTTCTAAGTGTTCGATTATTCACCCTGATCGACAAAAATAATAATATTTTTATTTCATTTTCTAAATTTCTTTATATACTAGGGATGAAATTCACATGTGATATATGTGATAAAAAGTTTTCAGCAAGGACTGCACGTAATCGACATATCAAAACTATTCATGAAGGTATTCCATGTTTTACTTTATTATTATTTATTGAATCATTTTATGACCTTTTTTGACACCATTTTCGTCGACTATTCATTGTTCTTTGTCTTATTCTGCTGATGCCTAAGTCAAATTTTGACCTGTGCTGCAGTAAACTGTTGATAGGTATCGCTTTCTGACGGAGTGTTTAATCCAAAACCATTTTAAATATTGGTTAAAGACTACAGTATCATCTATCATCGATTTCATACTTGTGATCTGAATACTTTTGTCGGTTCTCATTCAAGGATGGAGTTGTGGCTCATTGGTCTAGGAAATTGACTTTCGATCAGTGGGTCGCGAGTTCGATTACCACCCCACATACCGAGGTTTGCCGTTTGCCTCTAACGAGGTAACATTCCAGTCCTATACAATGTTGAAACGATTGAGGGGTCTCAACATAATTTTGGTGTTGTACAGTTAGTCATTCCATCAGCATCAACATGGAACGTGGCATTACTACATAAATATCCGAGTTGTCGCACCTCAAGCTTGCGCATCAAGGTAGGCGGCGAAAAGATGAAAGATGGAGAAATAAAGAAGTGAGTAGTCAAAGTGGGTAGAAAACCATCAGAAAATAGCGAAAAAAGTAATGGTGAAATTCGGCATGGAAAATAAGATGAAGATAATATGTGGATTCATCTGAGCTATATCACCTATAATCTCCAACCAGCAGTTTGTGTTATCGCGCAAACTCTAATGCAGAAGTCTTCATTTCCTTGCATGGCTCAGATAAACTGTCAAAGAATTTATAGACTGATGTAATATTTTCCAGCCTAGACTTCAGTTAACACTACGCTATAATACCTTAATACATGTCCCAGCCATTTGACTCGATAAAGGTTCACAACCTCACCAACTGACCAACCTATTTCATACAGACGTCAGAATATCGAGGCACTGATTGCTCAATGATTGAGAGTTGAGAGCCTTAACTACTAAAGTACAGCTTCATTGTAGTTTTCGGCGTTCATCGATAGTGGCGTATTTGCAGAGACTCATAAGTTAACATAGTAAAGTATAATCTCATAATAAAGTGCATTTATTCACTATGGTGCATATCAAAACAGTAGGAAGGAGAAAATTTGCAACGATAAGGAAATATTGATGAAAGATATTCGTAAATTTAGAATAGGTAGGTACAAGAATGTGATCCACACGATTTGGACAACGATAGAGAGTGAGTACATCCATAGTTTCGCAATCAATTTTAGGCCATCCAATTTGACCTCTTCAGGCACTGGTATTTAACGTCATAAGGATATGGTTCAGATTATTAGTCAGTGTTTCATGGATTATTGCAATTCAATCTCGTCAACCTCATCTTTTCTTTAATCAAACTCCTGTCATCATTTGTCGGTATAGGTGATTGCATGTTTGAAATATATCTCAGTTATTTCAATTGTTGCGAGGTCGTCACCTCATTGGTTCAGTAGACTTCAACAACTCAAACTCTGTAGCTGACTCCAAGATTGCTTACTCCTTGATCCGTGCATACACAAAAACAGCTGTCATCGGATTACTGCTACTTTCTTATCTCTTTTATATTTCAAAGCTACGTCATATGGTAGTATGACAAATTATTGCAAATTATCCTCGCATGTGTTCCTAGCGCTTATACGAAGATTTCTTCGGTCACTAGTTTATCGTGACCGATGTCCTTCTTCATTTAGTTTAGGGGACTTTACAATTAGCCATTTCTCTCTCTACTCCAATCGAGGTATTGATCTAGACCAGTCCTAAGGCATTATCTTACATTTCACAAATGAAAAATGCATTCTGGGCATCCGCATATTTCGCATCTGATATTTAGAAGACGTTCCATTTCGCCTCTGCTTTCGCCTACTGTTTGAACGATTATCTCAACAACGGACTATATTAACAAGATACTACTTAAGTTAGTAAATAGAGCTTTGTGATTTACTTGTGAAGATTTGTTTTGTAATCTTCAAATTCGGCATCTTAAGGCTTTACATCTTTTTGCTTCCTGCCCCCTGGTACATACTTACTAAGGATATAAACAAGTGCTGTAAATTAAACGGTAATTTTCTACCGAAATGGCTTATTTCAAATTTCTCGGGTCATACGTTGCTTATCAGCTTATAAGGTAGTGAGTCCATCAGAGATAATTACGTTTCTTGAGTTGCATAGTGTATTGTTTAGACTATCACTGTCTTGATCATGGAGGAAAATTTGATTCAAACAATAAACATGGTTGAAAACGGAAACTCCAGTCACATAACTTTTTATCATTAATATAGGAGTAAACCTTGGGCACTACGGTGGATTGCAGTTCCATTTTAGCCTGTTTATTAGAAATGTCACACAGAAAAACAGCATTAATTGCTGGAGGGCGTTTCGGACATAATTTATTGTCCATATTCATATGAACATGTACTTGCACCACCTTGTGCTTCATGAAGTACTGTCCATATTTCATTTCTGAATACTCTCATTGGCCATAGACTTTTACTTTGGTAGGTTCTGAATATAACCTATGGGATGTCTTAGTTTCAGATGAATCTGTGATGACATGATGGGTTTCAATTGCTTCACCACCTGAATCTGGTTACAGATAAGGTTTAGCGATTTTTCGAGCAACTTCCATCGATCTGTCTCATACAGTACTCCGTTACATTTCAAATTGACACAAACAACATCACAGTGAACTTCGGCAACAATATGCAGCTGGCCTTTCGAGGCACTGCAAGCGACTTGGGAAGTTGAGTGAATTTATCTGAGGCTGTACCAAGCTTCAAGCGAACCTGCTGCCCTTTGATTAGTATGGGTATATATTTTCGCCGCACCGCTGATCTGCTTCTTTTTTTGTATGCTATTACTGCATTTGATCTAAAGTTTGTACTTCTTGGAGTAAATTCGTAATTGATTCCGCTGTTTAACTGTACAGTGTTCATCTTTATGACCTCTTTGAGAACATTTCGTACACTGATGGTACTAAAATAGACAAAATCTCACAAAGAGCGTGGCAGCACAATGTCAGTGTGCTAAGGATGGTTTTGACTTACCATTATTACTGCTTGCATGGTTAATAGCCTCATGTCCTTTCTGATTAATTTTATTAATATTCGCTGCAAGCAAGTAAGAGAGAGTTTCATAACAAGCTGCAGTGAAAAGGTAATTGATAATAATTACCCGAATGTGAATAATGTGACGATAATCCCAACACCCATTCAGGGAAAATTTGAAATCATAAAGGGAAGGGAAGCCAAGTTATTTACATTTATTTTTCAAAAATGATGGTTAATCCTTTACCTAGAAATCTACTTGAATATAAGCTTTGGGCTAAATAATTAGTTTGTAACCACACTAGATGTCACATTTTTTCCATATGTTCTGTGTTCTGAGGTCAAAGGGCATAGGTCACAACTGCAGTTTAGCAAGGTCAGTCAGACTGTCAATTGCTTAAAATGTTCGTGAATTTACTAACATGTTAGGGAATATTTGGCAAACTTCAACCATTCTATTTAATTGAGGATGTTGATTGAAGGTGAAATGAAAACCTTGGTCGTGCCATATAAATGAAACCTGTGCTGAGTCATTACTGTTTCACTCATTTAGTGTTCATTCGATAAACAAACATTCGTTCAACCATTATCCCCTCTATCAACTAAATTAGACTTTAAGACTGTCACTGTGTCCTGCCCTGTTTTATGGTTGTATGTATTTGCAGGCATAGCTTAACAGGATCCACCAATCTCAATTTAGCTGATTGTTTCTTCCCAGAGAGATTAACTGGAGCTGATCAACTACTTTGACCTATATGTTTGACCTCGCAGTTATGGCATAGGATTCCGTTAGTCGGCTTATTTTACGTAACTGGGTCAATATTTTTGTTAATTGACATAGTGTGTCTCTGAGTGACTTTGTAGGTTCAAATGGTACTCGTAACTCTATTGAAAATTCTCTGTTCTTGTGTGATAACATCACAGAAGTTTTGAATTCACTCGTCGTAGCATCACTCTTGTTATTATATTACCACTACTGCTCATATTTTTCTCATATTTCTGTTACGGATTTATTGATGAATTTAGGTGGGTAATTACTGAAATGTTGGGTAAAAGCAATATGTTTAATTTTTTTCTCAGATTCTCCGTCCTATTAAAACCCTTTTTTGCCCTGTTACTTGTGCTTTTCACCAAGCATACTCTAACTGACTGGGTGAAGTTGAAGTAATGATTTGAATTGATACATTGCCTGTTGACGCTCGTTTAGAGCTTCATTTTGTTTCCGTCTTATTCTGCTAGCTGTATTCATTACTTTCCAGTCCATGGGTAACTTGGACTGTGTTCACAATGAATTTGTTTGTGTAAAGAACCTATTTCTATGCTTCGATTTAAGTAGTTTAAATGTGTCATCTCTAGGTGTAAATCATGTTTTGATGCATGACTAAATCTAGATAGTGTAATTAGATGACGAAATTTATCTGAACAATGTAGTGTATTTGTGCAATACATTTTGAATAATCTGACCACAGATAAACTCATCAAGTCAATTTATGTAAAACCGAAAAATTGGTGGAGAAATAGAAAAGCTATAATAATCGGGGATTAAAATTGAGAACGAAAAAGAAAGACTATTGCTTTGATGATAATCTTGGTAGGCAAACAAAGATTTAAGGCAGGTGTATAGTGTAGGAAAAAATTGTTTTTATCAACACAAAGTGCTATGGCCGGTAGTACAACCTAACAGTCTATGAGCGATACGAACCTAACGGGCAAACTAATCGGCTCAAACGCAAAGCAGAATGTCAACCACCACCACAACAATACCACCGACGTGCTAAGACAAAAAGAGAAAACAGACCGTTTACAGAAAGCTTTTGTTGTCTCAACAACATTCAATACAGTTGACAGCGATGCTGAATATATGCACATTTCTAAATGACCTTGGCGAACACTAAATCCATGTGTGGGTAAAAATAGTTAACAACTGATGAAAGTTCAGCCTTGAGAGCAGTGGGAAGAAAAACTAGTAACGGTGTGAAAATCTCCGTGTAGGTTGTTTTAAGGTCATAGGCAAAACAACAGATAAAGCTATGCAAAGGAATGTCTTAACACGTCCCCGAGATATGTGATACACCCTATCGCCGCTTAGACAACAAAACAAACTAATGATTCAAAGAAAATCTGGTTATAAAACTTTGAAATTGCCCAACTATGTATTTCTTTTCAAATCTTATCAAGTTAATCCATAGAGAAATCATTCTCTCCTGATGTGTCCGACTTTTTATGGCATATTCTTCATGTTGTGCTGTTTCAATATAACGATAGGACTTGACCACTGTTATTTATAGTAAGTAGACTGCAATGTATTGATCATTTCACTTATCTGGACTGGGTTCTGACAAACTTCAACTCGGGTTCAAAATGTCTGTTTGACTTTTGCAAACTTACGCCTTTTCTGGCGTGAAATAGTTCTGATAATACATATCAAAGGATGTATGCGTTGCACCATAGTTTACTCTCTTCTATTATACAGCTGTAAAAAGTAGCCTTTGAAGTTAGAAAATATAAAGAATTTAAAGGTTCCTTCGTGGCATTATCGTATGAGCATTGTTGAGGTTGGACACAGTGTTTGAAATGAAAGGCAAATAAGTTGATAAGGTCTTGGACGTTAGCAACTGAGGTAGCCTAACCATGTGTTGTGCATGCCAAACCATGACGTGTCACTATTGCACACAGTCTTTGACTGTCGGTTTGAACCGTGTAGGTTGTCTGGGTGAATACCCTGGACGAATAAAAATCACAGGTTGGAGACACTGTGATATGGCTCAAAATCGGTCACTACAGGTGCAGATATGAACACTTTATCTTTTTCTAAGTTTTGAATATTTTCACTAACCTTTATCTCATCCTCTCCTATTCATACACACTTTTCTATTTTAATATCATTCGTTTTGTATTCACGTATTTTTCATGCTGCTTTGAAATGGTAACTTAAATTAATGCACTTCTGTGTTCAGCTTCTACAATGATCTGTTTATCTGGATAGTTCTGTTACTTTATTCGATGATTATTATAACTGATCTAGTTAGATAGAAAAGATTCATTACTAACCTAATATGTGAAGCAGAAATGCTTCAATATTTGTTCGAGAAAGAATTCTACTACCATTGGGACTAAAAGAATGTGGAGCTGTAGCTGAAAGTTGTCTAACTTTCTGTTACGACAAATTTTGTTTCAAACAATATCCACTAAATAAATGTCGTTGTTTTACTCTGTACTATATCAGATGAACAGATTATCCTGATATAATAATCTTGGTAACTAGCAGTGGAGTCCAGGACGCACGTTTCGTCCTATTTGGGACTCGTCAGCCAGATGTACCTGCACCCCAGTAAGTGATATTGTTCCCACTGAGACTCAAACCTAGTACTCGTCGCTTTAAGTGCCAACACGTTATCCACTGAGGTACGAGAGCTACCACTTGTGCAATGGGTATCACTTGCTGTCAGTCTGACCTTCAATACTTCACCTTATCGCTAATATAATAATATACCCTTAGTAATAAATCATACGGTTTTCTGAAGTTATTACTTACTTGAACGTTAAGTAATGGGACTTCAAACTAGTGTGAAAGTCTGTTAATATTCAGATTACAGTATTCTACACTGTTGTAATACCAAATCTACTAGTGAATTTCATTTTGTATTATGCAGTAATAGCTAGGGACTGAGAATCCTATTCGAGACTCGTCATTTATGTAATTGTTGGTTTTGTTACCGAGATTTAAACCCTTAAGTTCACCCTTTTCAACTCTCATCCATTTGCAATAAATATCTCTGTTTCAACAATGAACGATTATATGATGAAAGCTTAGAATTTGTCTAGTAACCAATTGGTCTTTCTGTTTCACTATATTCTTTCCCTGCACGTATAGCTGGGATAGTATCTCACATTATATGTTGGCTATATTTATGTTGCAGTAGTTATTTGTGTATTTTATAATCATTTCGTATAATATCCTTTCCATTATTGTTCAACATCAGGTAAAAAGTTTTGCTGCGATCAATGTGATAGAAAATTTGATGGTAAATCCCACCTTAAAGATCACGTCAAAGTCGTACACGAAGGTAACTTAGCCTTTTACTTTCCCCTTTATTGTTGTATCTAATAACAATCCTTGGTATTTTTGAAGGCGATTTAATCCAGTGCATAAATTGATATTCAACGTGATGTAATGTAACTTTTTCCATTGAAATAATACCTCGCTCGTCTGTGTAGTCGTGGGACTGGAGATCATTAATTTTGCAATCCAACTTAGGCGATTTTCCTTCTAAAACTTTGACATGAATAAGAGCAGTAAATTCTCCTTAAAACGTCATCCAGTAGATAAAACTATATTACTGTATGCTACATGAAATGGACAACTTAGTATGGAATTATACTCTGCCACAGTGCCCAAGTTTACGCTTACATTAATGAATTTCTAACCATTGAGTCACAGATTCGTAATATGCTCCACTTCCCGTTGATTTTTTTCAAATCTAGTATAGTTTCACTACCATTCAAACCATCCATGACTGATAACCTATTGCAAAAACAAGCTTATGATGATTAATTTGCGTCATTATTTTCCGGTACTTAACAAATATTTGACTGAAAAATGCTCTAGATTCAAAATTACGACCGGAACAGGCTGGCTGGCTTCAGGAAGAACAAATCATGTGAGGATCAAGTTGCAACGCTACGCTACGCATCACCATAGAACAGAGCATAGAACGACAGTCAACTCATCGCAACTCAACCTCAACTTCATCGATTTTGAAAAGGCCTTCGATCGAAGCGTCGGCCGAGGAGCATTTAGCAGGCAGTGGCTTCAACGCTACAATTTTAGTGTCACAAACCTTTATCAACCTCATTCAACAGCTGTATGACGACGCCATATGCCAACTGATTCAGTGACGCCTTTGAAGCGAAGACAGGGTACAGGAGTTAGACAAGTCTGCCACCTACTATCACCGACCATCTTCCTGATTTTGGTCGATTGGAGTGGTTTGGACTCGACTGGATCATGGAACAAACTGAGGATCTGTGAGAAGAGTGGTGTATGCTGTTTGAACAATGTAAAGACCCTCGAAGATTTGTATTTCGCCAACGATGATGATTTATGTGTAATCTCTTGTCACACAAACCCCAAGATCTGCAGGCGGAAACCAACAAGTTGACAGAAGAGGTAAGGCAGGGAAGAGAATACGGAGGGGATGAAGATACCCATCCAACAAGCACCAGTGACTATGAAGGGGAGAAATCTAAAGGACGTAGTCTGATTGACCTACCTACCTAACTAGGTAGCATCGTTTCAACTTCAGGCGGCACAGGCACATGTACCGTTGAGGACGGTAAAGCCAGGACCGGAAAATCAAGCAAGACAGGCATTCACTAACCTGAAATCAGTGTGGAGATCTACTGCACTCACTGCACTCAGCATAATGCGTGAACAAGATCCGGATTCTCAACACTACTAATGTCAGTCAGTGTTTCCATGTGATGATTGGGAAACTCGGCGCATTATGGGTAGCGTTTGCAACAAACTGGAGACATCATCAACAGCTGCCGCATACGCTCACTCGATACTGAAGATGAGATGGATGGCCAGAATAAAAAGAATAAGTAACAAGGAAGTGTGGCTGGCTGGTTGGCTGGCTGGCAACGAACCAACGAAGAGGCTATCGCCGAACAAATATGCAGAGGAAGAAAGTGAAGACAGATTGGATTGGGCATACACTGAGAAGATCATTCGGAGATATGACATGTCAGGTCAGGCCGTCGAGTGGAAGGTGAATAGGAAACGACGAGTTGTGCGTCCGAGGTGATGGTGATATGGAGGAGATGGTGTGAGGAAGAAATGAGAGGTTGTTGTGAGTTGTGGAGCGAGGTTGAAAAGACTGCATAGAAGATAGTGAAATGGCAACGTGTTACAGAAGTCTTATGTCCCACCTGGAACTCAAATGATAAATAGTAGTAATCATAATGATAAGAGAATGTTCATCATTGGCTCGGTTGGTTTTTCGAAATTTTGTAGAATAAGAAAAATAATTTTGATTGTTTAATGGCTAATGTATCGCTTTGAAACTGCACTGCCCCTTCACGACGGTTTTTCAAAAGTTAGCCTTTATTTTTACTGTTTATGTGGCCATATTTTCTTTTAGGATTGGATATTTTATCTTCGCTGATCACTTTTTACTGAACATCCTGCATCGAATTTCCATCAGTATTTCATGCAGTCATAAGTAGAGATGAATTAGACATTCAACTTTTCACCAGCGATTCTCATAGGCTCAAATATACCTCTATTTACTGCTTAAAGAATATCAGCAGCTCTTGGACATCGGATGTGCTAATATGCGTAATTATGTTTTTTTTAAACTTTTCTTTTAGTTAAATGGTGTAATTATCTTTGTATTCAATTTTCTTTTGTGTTTTAATCACTATTATATAGGTTCGCCTTTCAAATGTGATATATGCGAACGTTCGTTTACCAAACCTGTTAGTGTGAGAGAACATATCAAGGCTGTGCATAATGGTATGTTCCACTGACCTAGTCTATTTTGTATATTTATATTTTTCTAGTTATGGTCATATGCATCCGTTTTTCTGTCTTGATTGAGTGATTTTCTGGAGGATGATCTGAGAATCGATTTTTTTAACTTCTGATAAAGAATTGTGATGTGTTTGAGGTTGAGAATAAAAATGCCTACCCATTACTTACATTTGATGATGATCTTGTATAGAGAATTAATTGAAATTTAAAATGCAAACCACTAAGTTTCAACCCACTGATTGGATCTAAACTTGTGCACTGCAACAGCTAAGCATACCGAACTTGTTTTAGTGTTATTGCTTGTATTACACCGTCATTGATAGGACCGAATTGATCAGCCTCTGTTGGCATATGGGCTCCTATGCTTATGCCTCGATATGGCCTATCTTTTAACTAGGTTTATTAATGATGGGTAGTGGCCAGCAGTGGAATCCAGGATGCGCATTCCGTCCTATTTGGGACTCGTCAGCTGGATGTACCTGCTTCCCAGTAAGTGATGTTGTTCCCACTGGGACTTGGACTCGGGAGCGATGGCTTCAAACGCCAGCGCGTTATCCACTACACCACCGAGCCACGATAGCCACTTCTTGTGCAACGGGTATAGGTTTTAGTGTTAGTGAGGAGTCCCAAATAGGACGAAATGCACATCCTGGATTCCACTGCTGGCCACTACCCATCGTTACTAATACCGAACTTGTTCCTGTATGATGAACATGAGTGGATCATGTTGACGAAGCTTTCGTCTACTACTTTCTGATTTTCAGTAGTTTTATTAGTTAATACCTCTTGATATCTTCAATATTCCATGGGCAAAAATCTTTGAAGACAACTGCTCACCAAAATAGTCGAATACAGCAATTCGTCTTGTATTTTGTTTAACTTTATTTCATATGTTAGATTCATCTGAACAAACGCGCCTAATGGTCGCGTAAAGATTTGTACACTTACACCTAACAGTAAACAACGTACAAGTCACATTTAGTAAATAGCAATTTCAATCTAACTGAATGCTAACTCATAGTTTCAACCAAAGAAATTACAGCAGGTTGAAAACAGTGACTAATCAGCCTCAAATAAAAAACTGTGCTCCATAACATCAGTTACTAATAAGTAATGCATTCAATAACACTGAGGAATGTTACACAATCTTATTGAGAATCAGATGAATAGATCTACATCAGCAGTACATCTCTTTTTACGATTATACACCTTCAAGAACGAAACAGCTGAAAAGAGACTTCACTGAATTACTGACGCTCTTTTCATGAATGTGGTTGCATCATACATATATCCTTTATTGAAATCTACTTCATATCTTCGCATAATTACAGGAAATAAGTATTTGAATAAGAATGTAAACAATATGTGTTTTCAAAATTTCTTACAATTCACTTAAAAGTTTGCTGCATTCTTTTCAAAAACCACGTTCCCGTAGTAATAATGAGTGGTTGACCAAATAAATTCTTAATCTTGGTTGTATTGTGTTGTCTGAGCTGAGCTGTTTAGTCGTGGAGCTGTCATCGTCTTTCTAGATGACATCTTTAACTTCAGTATGTAGTGAGCTGTCAATATTTCTCCACGAATGATTTAGTAGCTTGCTCTGACGAACTGGTTTGTGATTGGTTGTTTCCTTTAATTGTTGTCATTGACTGTATAGACTTTCCTGTTGGCTGTTCCTCTGCTTCACCTCTCACTTTTCTATTGTTTATCATTTTTCGCATTGGTTGGTAGATTGGGTTTTTGTCTAAGCATCTGTTGATTGCTGACTGACTGACCTGAATGCCAAGCTTCTAGGAATTCTCTGATATTCTTTGTGTTTCCTCTCTCCGTCCAATATTTCTACATTATCGAAATCGAATTCATGTCCATAGTCGATATCCACATGCATTGAAGTGAGTGATGAAATATCGTGGCGTTTAGTAGCCAACTGGTATTCATGTAGATGAAGGCGAAGAGGGCGACCACTTTATCCAATTTATTGTTGACTACAGTTATTAGAGTTGATTTTGTAAATGATATTCGGTTTGTCTTCTTTGTTTGTTGCATCCTTTGATCTGCATAATAGTGTTTGGAGGGAATTTGTTGCTTTATGAGCCACAGCAATTGATGTGCCTCAACCCGTGAGAAAAATGATAAGCAATAGAAAAGTGAGAGGTGAAGCAGAGGAACAGCCAACAGGAAAGTCTATACAGTCAATGACAACAATTAAAGGAAACAACCAATCACAAACCAGTTCGTCAGAGCAAGCTACTAAATCATTCGTGGAGAAATATTGACAGCTCACTACATACTGAAGTTAAAGATGTCATCTAGAAAGACGATGACAGCTCCACGACTAAACAGCTCAGCTCAGCTCAGACAACACAATACAATCAAGACCATCCAGCCGAGCTACAAATATTCTCCATTATTTCAAATTCTTAATCGTTACCTCAAGATTAAATTTAATAGTTACTGAAGAATGACAGCGTTTTGATAGTTTCGTTTATGAGACATTGGCATAAGTATTTACCTAAAAGGTGGTTGACTGTTACATTATTATATTGTTATTATTATTATTATTTGTCCCTTGGGTTCCTAGGGCGACATAGGGCTTCAGTAGCACGTCTCCATTCCACTCTGTTCTCTGAAATCTTTTGAACCTGGGTCCACGACTGCTCAGAAGCTCTCATTTCTTCTTCACACGATTTCCCCCATGTCACCCTCGGACGCCCAACTCGTCATTTCCCATCTGGGTTCCCCTCGAGGGCCTGACGCGTGATGTCCCCAGTCGGCCTTCTCAGTGTATGCCCAATCCAATCCATCTACACTTTCTTTCTCTGCATATTTGTTGAACGATAGCCTCTTGGTTGGTTCGTTGCCAGCCAGCCACACTTCCTTGTTACTTATTCTTTTTATTCTGCCCATCCATCTGATCTTCAGTTTGGATTGAGCGTAGGTGGCAGCTATTGATGAATGTCTGAAGTTTGTTGGAAATCCCTTTCGTAATGCACCAAGTCTCTGAACTATACAGAAGCACTGATTTGACGTGGGTGTTGAAAATCCGGATATTGTTCACGCTTTATGCTGAGTGTGGAAGATCTCCACAATGATTTCAAACTAATGAACACCTGTCTTGCTTTTCCGATCCTAGCTGGCTTTCACGTCCTCGTCTGTGCCGCCTGTAGTTGAAACGATGCTGCCTAGATAGGTGAAGGAGGTTACTTTCTTTAAGTTTCTCCCATTGATGCTGATTGGAGTTTGTTGTTGTTGGTGTTGTTGGTCGGGTATCTTCATCACCTCTGTCTTCTCTACGATCACCTGATGCAAGTCCCGTCTTCGCTGCCTCTTCTGCCAACTTGTTAGTTTTCGCCTGTATATCTTCGAGTTTGTGTGACATTCGACACAAGTCATCGGTAACCGTTATATAATAACCATAAATACTATTTTCACTACGGAATGTAGTAATTTCCTTCTTTTTTTTCTTTGTCTCAGGTGAAAATCACATATGTGATCAATGTGGCAAATCATTTTCACGAAAACGTTTCTTAAATAGGCACAAATCTGCATTTCATAAGAGGCGAAATGATTAAGATGAAAATGGTAAATTATAGTTTATTCATTTGTATGAAGAATATATACTTGTTATGTGGTATACTGAGTTACAGCTTTTACTGTTCATTATTTTATCCTCGTATACTGGAATTATATAAAGACACCGATCAACAGGCAGCATCAAATCGATATGATTTTTTACAATGATTGTAGTAGTAATACAAATAAGTGAAATGCTTTATGGTATCATAAAGCATACAAGTAGATTTGTACTTACACCCATTTCTATTTTATGTATTTAACGTATTAAGCTGAAAGGAATAAGATATATTCGCAAATTTGAGCTACTTTCAACAAGCACAATAAGCGAATAAACTTAAGTATTATAGAATTTGATTTACGATTAAGCGGCTATGAATATAACTGACTTTTGGCGCGGAAAATATAGCACATTGTTTTGTCTCACTAGATATTCTGTTTCAATTATGTGTATTTTCCAACTTTTATTCATTTTTTGTGAGGTTGCTTTTCTATAGAACTTTGAATCTGTGTGTCATTTATATATAGATAAGCCTATAATAGTGAGTATCATTAGGGGAAGGTACTCTTATATTTGGTACTTGTAGCTATTCGTACCTACTTACTGAGGTAACCATGTCTAAAATTACTTGATAACTTCCTTTTGAGCAATGTAATTTATTTTTGTGGCTGACTAAATCAACGGAAGCAAACTAGGACTTAATCTAACCACATATGACCAGCAGTTGCCATGTATCACACGTAAGATGATAAGACCTTCAAGATTTTGCTTCGATGTATTTATCCCGCTGTGATTGCTACCGTTCCATTTTGACGGAAGTTGCCATACCTCAATGAAGAAGCATAAACTTTCCCATAAACATGAAATTACTGGTCAACGACTTTATAAAGCGTTAGCGTATCTTCCTGATTGCGGTGGACTGGATCATGCAGCAAACCGTGACGAGCGAGAAAACGGGCATACTCTGGACCGATGTAAAGACCCTCGAAGATTTGTATTTCGCCAACGATGATGATTTATGTGTAATCTCTCGTCGCACAAACCCCAAGATCTACAGGCGGAAACCAACAAGTTGACAGAAGAGATAAGGCAGGGAAGAGAATACGGAGGGGATGAAGATGCCCAACCAACAACAACAAACTCCAATCAGCATCAATGGGAGAAACTTAAAGAAAGTAACCTCCTTCACCTATCTAGGCAGCATCGTTTCAACTACAGGCGGCACAGACGAGGACGTGAAAGCCAGCTAGGATCGGAAAAGCAAGACAGGTGTTCATTAGTTTGAAATCATTGTGGAGATCTTCCACACTCAGCATAAAGCGTGAACAATATCCGGATTTTCAACACCCACGTCAAATCAGTGCTTCTGTATAGTTCAGAGACTTGGTGCATTACGAAAGGGATTTCCAACAAACTTCAGACATTCATCAATAGCTGCCACCTACGCTCAATCCAAACTGAAGATCAGATGGATGGGCAGAATAAAAAGAATAAGTAACAAGGAAGTGTGGCTGGCTGGCAACGAACCAACCAAGAGGCTATCGTTCAACAAATATGCAGAGAAAGAAAGTGTAGATGGATTGGATTGGGCATACACTGAGAAGACAGTTTGGAGACATGACGTGTCAGGTCAGGCCGTCGAGTGGAAGGTGAATAGGAAACGACGAGTTGTGCGTCCGAGGTGATGGTGATATGGAGGAGATGGTGTGAGGAAGAAATGAGAGGTTGTTGTGAGTTGTGGAGCGAGGTTGAAAAGACTGCATAGAAGATAGTGAAATGGCGACGTATTACAGAAGCCTTATTTTCCACTAGGAACTCAAGGGACAAATATATAATGTAAATAATAATCTTGGTCTGGTCTGACTTAGATTTTCCCAATCTAATCCTACGCTGGTTAGTTTTTGAAGTCAATGCACTATTGATTGGTGCATGAAGTAATGTCCCATTAATTTCTTATCACTTGAAGCTTATCTAAGCGTAACATGTTGTATGAGCTTATTCATTTGATGTGCGATATCAGTGATATTTTCCTGTGTTTTTTCTCACTTATAGCTTATTTCAGTCACCACTAAATTGTGTTAATAGCGAATATGACTGGTTTAGTTGAGCAGAAGGAGATGGATATGAAACTACTTCATTGTCTGCATTTTGTTTTACTTTTTATATGTGTATCGATCTCATGTTTTCTCTGCATATATTTTCTTCCTTTTTGTATATATGAATGCTTTTTTTTATGCGACATACCTTTCTGTATTTTCTAATTGTTTTACGTTGACTGATTGTGTTTGTATTTTAATGCTTATTGGCAGTAATTATCAGTAAAACCTAGAACATATACATCGTTCACTCGTTCTAACGTTTTAAGTAGATTCACTTGTGTCTGTGTTAATGTTCGAACTGAGAAACCCTGTATCTTATCGCGATAAGTTTTTAATAATTTCTCGCAGATGAATTTCTCTATTTTAATCAAATATGCTATCCGATTGTTACCGCTTGAGTGTGCGCAGTTGCGTGATACCACTAGACCTCGAATAATGAATGTTAATTATGGTTAAGAACACAAGTAGGTATAAGATTGTATAATTACGTTATTAGGACTCGTAATCAATATTTCTAAATCAACGGGGAATGAAATTCATTCCATGTCGCGAATGTCACCATACATATAAATGCTGTATAGCTTTCCTAATAACTATAGTAAATGAATCATTTGTACACACTGTTAAGTCTTCTTCGAATGTATGAAGTAGAACTATTATCATCATTTCCAAAATCAGCCTTAAGATTTTAGGGTTTGATAGTGTAGACTTGTACTTACTAACTGAGATGATCGTGAACTAGAATGCATACGTCTGATAAGTGTTTACCGGAATGTTCAAAGTACATCCACAGTAAAAAAAATTTCAGAAACGTCATGATCAAAACACTTGAAATTACTTTTCGGAATTGATATTCACCAAGGAATTTTAGCAGTGTAATTTGTCGTCAAAAGTAGTAAATTGGTGATTTACAATTAGGAGTGATATTTCCCTAAATCGTATAGTGTGTTGCGCAGTTGGATTTACATTGCATCCTTATTTAAATTATTGACTGGATTGATCTTCGCGTAACTGTTGTCTTCAATCCTTTCCGCATAATTGCATCATTCTCACCCTGGATTGCTAATCCTGGGAACTGTTTCTTTGTTTTTGCGTACTATTGGTCTGTCTTAACAGATGGTTGGGGTAGGCTTAGTTTGAACAATATGAATCTCCTAACAGTTACATCATTTGAGATTTTTGTCAAATGCTTAGAATAATCTTGTAGAGCTTAGGTCTCTGTAATAAAACGTTCTAATCAAACGGAAATTGGCAGGGATGACTGTTATGTATTTTGAGAAGATATAATACACACACCTGACAGTTAACTTCAAACGCAAGATCCACGGGCTGTAACCTGGACGAAATAGCAAAGTCTGAACTTAATGGGAGAGTTTATTCCTCAGAGAAAATAGTCAATTAAACCGAAAACACGTGTATGTAGATATATACGACAAATGACCTTGTCCAGAATTTGGAACATTACCATAGTAAAAGCAAACATTAACCTTGAAAACGCGAGGAGGAGTGGACTACTAGGGACGCCGTAAAACTGGTGCGAAAACGACAATTTCAAAATGTTTTGGTTAATAAACAGCGTGTTGTGGAAATCTAGGATATTCTAACATTGGCAACAGAAATAAATCAGTCACTTCTGGTTCAAACATACTTGTTATTAAATCTTCAGACTTTGCTTATGAATTACTACTCACTTATTTGTGTAGTCAGCTTGATTTGGTAAGGTCTTTTCTATGCTTAGGATTATTTCTGTTGTCATCCCAGCCAATTTTCGTTTGATGAGAATGTGTTAATTTAGGTTGGGGCTAAGGTGGTATTAGTGGTTACAATGTCACTCAGATACATGCTCCATCGGTTAGCAGATCATATTTATCCAGTCAGGCAAAATAAATTAGTTGATTAAATCCCTTGCAATGATTATGTTATGAGGTCAAAATAGTTGATCAGGGTCAGTTAAGCTGTCTGGGAAGAAACAACCAGCTAAATTCAGATTAGTAAATCCTCTTATGATAAGGAATTCAGAGAAAAATTCGGTTATAAGTATGCATGCAAATATTTGTACAACTACACAATAGTATAGCACACAGTGATAGGCTTGAAATCTAGCTTAGTTGGTGGACGGAATGATAGATAAGCGAGTGTTTGTCTATGAAATGAACACTAAATACGTGTAACAGGAATGATTCAGCACCTGTTTTAGATGCATAGAACATTCAACTAATGTTTCACTGTGACACCTAATAAACAAATTAATGCGTGAATTACAATCTAAAGCAGTACCGTAGTCTTATTGCCATATTATAAACCAACTAGCCATATCACAAGGAAGGAGAGAGAATCAGAACAATAGAAACCATGTCTCAAGGTTTTAGAATTACCTTGACGCGACAGTGGATTGTGTCCGGAACGTTATTCAGTAAATACTACTGTTTCACTGTATGATACTTCTGATGAACCGACCGAAGTATAATAGCAATCTGCCACAGTGCCTAGTTTTACTCTCATATTGCTAAGATCCTAGTTAAAACGTGACTCAAACACAGGTTAAATATCAGGTGGATAATCAACGAGATACGGTTAAGCGTAGAGCTGGACATACGCAACACGCTTTCATTATTTGATATTAGTAACCACGGTTGTTAATCAGGCTTGGCTTTTTGTGTTGCTCTCTCTGAGGTGGATGATTCAATCGTGGAGGTTTTACTGCTTTGTAGACAATTTCATTGACACTAAGTTCAATATTAAATTATGTTCTAGTTGGAGCTGATGATATTGTTTAAGAAAACAGTGAAGTTTCACAAATGAAACCCATCCTACTTGGAGAACTGGATGCATTGAAGATTATCTTTCCCCTTGGGCTACAAACGTTTTCTTCATTTCTTGCTTTATCCATTCAGATCAGTCATTATCTTAAGTATTAACAAACTGAATTCGCATTCAATTTTTATTCTACAGTATTCCATTAACCATGTTTTGTACCGTTTCTTTTGAAATACCTTTCACTTGACTGTTCAGTGAATTTATTATACTATTTCTTTTCCTAACACGATTTACTCAGTTTATCAATCATCTATATTTCTGTTTGATGAGAATGTTGTGTAATTTTTTAATTTCATTATAGTTACAAATACAATTCTACAATTGTGATTGTTCGAAGTTCCACTAAATCGTGACATTATTGAAGGTGATGAATGTTACTTCACTAAAAGTTGTGCATCTATACAATGAAATCTTAAAGAATATTTTTATCGTAATCAAATATTTGAAATTTCCATAAAATGTAATGGTGCCGCCTGACAGTTGTTTACAAATAGAATCTTTGAACATACAGTTCACATAAAAATCGGTGATGCTATTGATAGAACCAGAAATATAAATTATGTTAACAGTATGGAAAAGTTAGTCATGTGACTTTTAAAATATTATTTCAATGAATACTACAGTAGTTTGAAAAGCTTATGCAAACTGGATTTGTATGACATGATTTTCCATGAAATGTATATCACACTTATCATTCAAAAAGTGCTTTATGAACACATGAGTAACATGATGCTTCTTAAAGTAAAGAAAGAGTTGATTGAGCTTGTAACGCCGAATGTATATTTGCATTGAATGAATGACAGACAGATCACGTTAATTCACTTCATTGCATTCCACACAAGCACACCAAAGTCTAAGATAGTAATCACAAAGACTAACGAAAATAAGAATAATAGTATCTGTCAAATAAATAAACCTCGACTAGTTAACTACATGACTAGTTACTAGCCCTTGCTAAACCCGGATAAAGAGGGAAGGTTGGGCATAGGGCTAGCAACCTTAACCCCGAAAAGCCAATCCAATCGCTAAAGAAACTTAAAAGTACAAAGAAAATATAAAAACAAACTTATTCCTAGCTGTAATCGGATAGATGAAATGACGTCGGTTGGTGAAAGCCCTCGGGAAGCCAATTGGTCGATATGTCTTCTCTTCTCTCGATGAAAGCAAAAGTAAACATGGAGACATGGAATTCCCGCACAATGTTTGAGGCTGATAAGGCTGTCCAGATTGCAAAAGAGATGAGAAAATATAGCATAGAATTGCTAGGAATCTTCAGATGGAATGTTGGTGGACTCTCCAAACTGTCAACTGGAGAATCAATAATCTACTCCGGTCACCCAGACGACAACCACGCGCACACTGAGTACTGGAGTGGCTATCATGATGTCCCCAACAGCAACGAAGGCTCTCATGCAATGGGAACCTATCTCCTCCAGGATCATGACAGCAAGATTCAACTCAAAAGGAAGGAAGGTCACAATCATACAATGCTACACTATGCACCTACAAATAATTCAGAGCAAGAGAAAAAGGAGAAATTCTACAGACAACTGCAATCAACACTGGACAAGACCCCACTGCAGTCGGCGACATCAAAATTCTAATGGGTGACATGTTTTAATGCCAAACTGGGAGCAGACAACACAGGGAAAAAATCATCATGGATCGAGAGGCACTTGGTGAAATGAATGAGAATGAAGAATTGTTTGCAGAATTCTGTGCACTCAACGATTTGTTGATTGGAGGTAGTGTGTTCAAGCACAAGGATTTTCACAAGGTAGCGACATGGATTTGATTTCACCAGATGGACGCAGTACACTTAAATCAGATTGACTTCGTCTGAATGTGAAGAAAGTGGAGACGCAGTCTACTGGACACAAAATCATATGAAGAAGAGGAGCAGATGTGGGTTCAGACCATCAGACTGTCTAGTGCAAGTAACCTATTTTCAAAATCAAGTTGAAAACCTTCGAGGAAGTTTGTGATAGTCCACATTTCAAGTTCAACACCCAGAACAGAGACTGAAGGACGGAACTACAAAGGACATCATCACGTCAGCCAACAGGTAAAATGGGAGACATTAAGCAACATCCCTGAGGAAACCTCTGTGGAAGAACACTGAAACTTGAATGTGACGTGGGAGGAAACCTGCATAACTGTGTTCGTAAGGAAGAAGAAGCAAGAGGAGGAATGGATCTTGGCGGACACATGCAAGCTGATAGAGGAGAGAGAGGAAGATGGTGATAGTGAAGCAGAAGATGAACGAGTGAAGTGTAGTGAGGGGATGAACACCGAAAGGAGGAACTGAATGCAACCTATAAAGCACTACGCTGGACAAAGAAGTGCAGAAGAGTGAGCGGAAAGAAAAAAGGTACTTCTACGACACACTGGCAAGTGAAGCAGAACAGGCTGCTGGTAAGA